TAGGCATTTGAAATAGCGCTAGCAGCGGATAGGCATATTGCCTTATAACAATGGATCCACGCTATTCAGCCTGAGAATACATCTTATTCAAGCTATTCAAAGAATGTGCCTATCACCAACTATCCTTTTATCAGGCTTATCTTTTCATTTTGTTTTCTTTATCGTTCTCTGATCGGTACAAGCGAATAGTGTGGGTCGTGTCTCAACAAGGCTGAGCTGGGCGGTGAAAGTGAATATAATTACTGAGTACCCTCATGATGGGCCAGGCCCGACAATTTGGTGTAATGTAAATTTGAATTGAATCGCAGTGAAGAAACAGTTTTTTTGGAGTTGAGAAGTGAAGTTTCCCATAATTATGTGTAAGTGGCTGGCTGCGTTGGAGTTTGCGGACAAAGGTATTATGGATAGATGCGGCAAATGGGAATTTCGGTCTTTGGCCACTTGGTGGTGGGTCTGATCTACTCACCTCCCATCGCCCTAGTATAGGAGCCGCATCTGCACTAGTGAGGGGGGGGGGGGGGTGGAGTCCGTACGGATGCGGAAAACTCGGTCTACAGCCGAGTTTCACGCGAACCGTCAGAATACGGCTGTACTCTTCATATCAACCTAACAGGGACAACCCCTGTATGTATATACCTACTTCTCACGTTCAAGCACTTACTACTTAGTACTACTACATGTAGTACTAAGTAGTAATTGTAGTAGTACACTGAGTCTGTACATGTACATGTCAGTGCTCCTCTTTGGAGGGTTACAAAAGTTGTGTAGTGAGCAAGGCGAAAGGCACCACGTGAATACCTGTTGACTGAAAGTATGAGGGTTTTCCTGTGTACCTTTTTGTTGATTTTTAACAGTCGCAGTGTAACTCAAACATTCATCAGGCATCAGTCCCAGTGGCTCTAAGCAAATTCTCGCGAAGCCGGACACTATGGATGTATTGCCCTTAAAAAACACTTACTCACAACCAAAGGAACCAATATCCAGACATGGAAAGGCTGGACGTTTGACCAGGTCCAGGAAAGGGCACAGGCACACTCTGCGACCAAACCCATGGAACTAAGCTGGAAAGGTCGCTAATGTCACTAACTAATACGCTACCGGAAATGAACATTATTTCAATGAAAGACTGCCTGATTTTCAACTCTATATCTTCATACGCGGGTGTGCACAAATGGGGGTCAACGTTTTCGAGATAAGGTCCGGCTTTGGCGGACTAGTCGGACAGGTTGCTACGGGCAAGCTCTCTAGCTCAGGCAACCAGGCTTTGATTCTGAAGTCTGCTTCGGCGACAGTTTTGTTGTAACCCTACAAGTATCTGTTGCAGCACTGTGACAGGGGTCGATCTCTGTTGACAGGTAACGTCGTGGCGCGGTCCTGACGCAACCTGCTTTGTCTCCAGAGTCCTTTTCAAATTCTTATCATCTTCTTAGCCCTGCAGCGCTGACGGTGCTCTACGTACTACGTAATGCATGCTACTTCACGTAATACGCTTTTATCCTGAGGAGTCATTTACTCTGTATGAATATTTGCTGCTCAACACTTTAGTCTTTTGAAGGACTCTCAAGGGATGGAGATGTGCGAAACTCGCACTCGAGAGAGAAACAAACTTCTTGCTGTTGCCTATCGAGCTATAACCGTATACAGGTGTTATAGGTGACCTCTCGGCCGGCATTCGACCTTGACTCTGGCTTGCAATCTTATTTTTTAAACCGAAAATTTGTATTGGAGTGCGCGTGCGAGCAAGGCCATAGCAAGGCAAGCCAGCCCAGTGTCAACTGCCACAGGATTATCAAGTACTTTGTCAGTTGCACCTTTTTTTGTCGTGAAGTAAGTTAGCTTCGAGTATCGTCACTGACGATTGTGGCTTGGAAGTAGTTAGTTGGAACCCCAACGCGTGTCACATATCAACGCGACTTGAAGCTAAAACAAAGCCTGGAGGCTACCGTGCGTTGCAATGCTAGCGCTAGCTGCTGGAAGTGTACGCGAAGCAGGGTGTACGTGCTTTGACTGCCAGTTACACACGTAGTAACAGTAGTAACACTGTCTGCCGTCGGTCATCGTGTACTTTGCAATGACTTTAGACTTGTAAGTTGTAGTCTAGAAAAAAAACTGAGCGCTGTCACTTGTCAGTGGCCACCACAGTCTGCCGCCGGCTGGTGTGAATCGTTCGCACCTATTAGTATTATCCGCAGGCCACACACATACACGCGGGCAGGACGGAATGGCGTTCGCGCGCCGTTTGCTGGACGGCAGGGACGAGTCTCCGCAATCAAGGCCATCTTCGCCGTCCTCCCAATCGCCTCTTCACAAGGACGAGCGGAAATTAGCCAAATCAGGCAGACACTTGTGGAGTCAGCAGGGCAAGCGGGTGTCCAGAACGCCATCAAAAGAGCAGAAATGGGCACGGGAGTGGACAGCTATCCAGAAAAATAGTACCTTGCCTCGGAGTGGCGAGCAAGCTCTCGACCGTTTGCCATCCGGTGGGAGCTGTCCCAACCTCGCCGAACAGGGCAGAGGAAACATTGCCGATACGAATAAACACGACTGCCTGCAGATCACAAGAAGAACTCTTGGAGTTGGAAGAAATGCAGCTGACGACGAGGAGAAGCGGAAGAAGGACGGGAGGACGACCACGGAGATACAGCCCGGGGGTCATCAGCATCTCGCCAGTGCCGCAATGCAGCGTCAGTACGGCACGGAGGAGGAGGGTGGCGGCGGCGGTGTTGTCGATGCACCTTCGCCCGAGGACGTGACGGCGCAACCGAGTCGCATACTGTTCAAGCTGAATGCTTACACCTCGACGTTTGACGGAGGAGACGCCGGCGACCTCATGTGCTTCGACGGACAGATCACGAGCTACGGAAGCGCAGCTCTGAAAGGAAATGATGTGCTCATTCGACTGGACGAGGAAGGTGACGATGAGAATTACGAAAGCGGCGAACTGTTGACAAGTACGCTGCGGGAGAGACTGCTAAATCGCAGTACTGGATCGCTCGATGATCTAACTATCCGCTCCACTCCACATCAGCAGAAAGATTGGGCAGCATGTCCGTCAGGCACAGGGAGCTTGCCACGCGATTTCACTGCCCAGCACAGGACCAGAATGTTACAGCAACCTGCAGTGCCCCAGAACAGCGTATACAGACATAGTGTGAGTGTGCCAGTAGGTCGGAGTGGTCGCCACACTCCGCCCAGGAACATTTTATCAGCGATCGATGGAGGTTTTCACCCGAAACCGTCGTCCATAACGTGTCGGCACCTCGCCCTGAGACGGGTCAGTTCGCAGCCGCTACTGGAAAATCAGGAACTCGAGAAAGCGATCACGCAATGGCGAGACCAGGAGCCTCTGGTAAGGTGTGTGTGTGTGTGTGTGTGTGTGTGTGTGTGTGTGTGCGTTTGTGTGTGTGTGTATGTGTGTGTGCACAAGCTGCTATGGCTTCTGCTGTAGCATCGCTATCATCGCCTCCGACGATGGGCGTCCAATGGTGTGTGTGTGTGTGTGTGTGTGTGTGTGTGTGTGTGCATTCCTGTGTGCGTGTGTGTGTCTGTGTGTGTGTCATCTGGGCAAGTAGTCATCGTATTGAAAGTCGTAGTAGTCATCGTACTTAAAGTATTCGTCGTACCCGTAATGGTACAGTCGACCCCTGATATATAGCGCACCATTGTGCAGGGGAATTAGTTCTTTATAACAGAAATGCACTTATTCTGTAGATTCCATAAAAAAATGAAAAAAAGGCCGGCACAGTGGGTTGGTCTAAGACATGATTGAGAAACGAGATGTACCAAGTTCAAGTCCTGCTTGGAAGCGGAAGGATTTTAACCGTGCTGCGACCCACAGTTAATTGGGAACTCGTTGCCTGGCATGAGTAAAACACGGATGTGGCAAATGGGATTTAGGCCTTTGGCCTATGGTTGGTGGATCTGATCTATCCTCCCCCACCGCTTAGGAAGCCGCATCTGACGCCTGATCATGGGGTGGTGGCGTCCCACGGAAGCGGAAAGGTGGTTCTTGACCAGAGAGTTGTATGACTAATTGTTCTTGACCTGCCCGGTACGCAAACCCGTCGAATTTTTTTCTTCAAACTGGGACATGTTCAGCGGTTCGCTATACAAGTATCACGAAATTCGCTATAATTATGCAAGTTCATTATAAGTGGAGTCAACTGTACATTGAATTTAAAACCAGTCGAAGACGACAGCTCAAGGGACCTTCCAAACCGGGGTATCCATAACCAGATGGTCTGCTTATCCAGGGTCATTTGACCGGATATAGCATCTATTGGTCCTGGTTGCGGTGGTCTTCTGGGGGGGGGGGGGGACAGGTGGCCACCTTATCGGAGTGGTCGCCATGGCAGGTTTTACTGTAGTTGCACTATGCGGCACCGTGAATATGAGGTAGCAACGTGGGCGGGGCTGGTCCTTGTTGCCGAGCGTTGCCTCCACCAGCGCCTGTAACGGTAGAGCCTAGACTGGAAAAACTGAGCGTTGAATATTTTTTAGAACTATACGTTTAACTCGGATGGTGAGCCAATTTAATCAGTCAGGTCGTCGAATGTCTCAGTCGTCCTTATCAGTTTTGTGCCATTTTGTCGCACTCGCTGACTGCATAATAATGATATGATCTGGTTACATTTGTGGACAGTTAGTCATAACTCGTACAATTTTGTCCTTCTCTTTTTTTTACCATAATCGTTTAAAAGATTATTTTTCATCCGAAACTCAACAGTGCAGCCTCACAAAATTTAGAGGTTTAATATGCAAATGATTTCATGGCGGATTTTCTAACGCACGCCAAGTATACCAGCGTGGGTCAGCGGATTTTCTGTTGGCCGCTAGTGCAAGATTTAGTGCAGCGCTGTGCCGCGACTTGGCGAAAGCATCTCTACCGATGATGTAATCGCATAGCCTGTATAATTTATAGAGGCCCAGGAAGAGGAGAGGTATAGGCTTAATGACCTATTGACTTATGGAACTGATGTTTGGCGTGTTGTCTGATTCAGGTGAAGGACACACATCGATTCGCCGTACGCACGTTACTGTCACGAGTAGGATCAGTGCCGGAAGCGGGACCTTTGACCACGATGAATCTGCTGGAGACTCTGCAAGATGTAAGTTCCCCATGCATGCATGCTCTCTACGTATTTCTGTTGTCTGTGACTTTGGCTGCGTATTCCTTTCTAATCTGCCTTGCTCTTTGTTTTGCTGTCCCTTTGTCTCTTCCTTGTTTTCTGGTTGGAGTGCTGGGTCCCCGTCCCCCCCCCCCCTCCACACACTCAACTGCCCCCCCCCCCACCCTCTCTCCATTTTACTCTCACTCACTCACTCACTCACTCGCGCGCGCTCTCTCTCTCTCTCTCTCTCTCTCTCTCTCTCTCTCTCTCTCTCTCTCTCTCTCTCTCTCTCTCTCTCTCTCTCTCTCTCTCTCTCTCTCTCTCTCTTTTGTGTCTCTTTGTGCCTCCTGGTAATTCCCCTTTCTCTGTCTCTTTCTTCCTCCTCCTCCTCTTTCATTATCACCAGCTGTTTGTATCATAATCATCTTTATCCAATTTACTACCCGCAGATATGTTTGATAGGAGACGAGAGGCATTCACAAGTCGTCAGCGAAGAGAGTACGAACATGGTAAGCATATGCTGATTCAGTGTGGGGACTACCTGCTGGTTGTTGTATCTTGCGTTTAGGTGATGAGTCCAAACTGTGACCGTAGTCCTATCATTGGCAGGGGGGGGGGGGTAGGGGTAGAATGCCAAAGCTCACAGATCAGGCTAGACCATATAACACTCATCTTGGCTGCTGTTATTTCAGACATTACGGGTGTACGTCCACTTTCGTTACGTTAGGCATCTCTCTTTCATAGCTAAATTGCTGGGGAGCATTCTTCCACAGGGAGCTGCTTCTCTGACTCAGTTTTCTACTTACCTGTGCTGGTTTATTGCCGAAACGACTAAACAGATTTGTGCACAGCATAAGTTTTGGTTTGGGGTAAATGGGTCCCGCTGGTTTCTTCGTTTACATCTTTCAAAAAAAAATTGTGTCCGTGGCTCAGCAACTGAATTATTGCGTAATATGGTATTCTGCCGTCGTTGTTCCTGTTCTCAGTGTGTATGGTGTTTCATTCTTGTCTGCTTGCAGCCAGCTGGCCAGCAGTGTCTTTCCGTTCATGGTAAGAGAAGCAGTATCCGTCCACTAGGGTTGTGTGTACAGGCGTTCATATCACTGGCTCCTTATTCTGTACGATACAGAAGTATAAGTTTGGCTGCTGCATGCACTGTACTTTACTGGTTGAAAGTCAAGATAAGTCGACTCCCCATGCTGGGGGCCTAGGTTTCAGATGTAGTCAGACCCTGTTTGGATCCCAGTAGCAAGTTGACTCAATCCTTCTTGAAATGAAGTTGTTTATTTCCTACTTCTAAGTTCGTAAACCATTGTAAACGTATATCCGATAACATTTGGCACTCAATACACTCGCCTAGCATAGGTGTCCGGGGAGGGGAGGGGAGGGGGGGGGGGTTGTAATTTAGATACCGCCCTTGTCGTGGCACAATCGTCTAGTCGCCACCCGGATATGCTGCGCTGCATTTTCAGCAATATACTGCTCAGCAATCTGGTGTGTTGAGTGGCACGATTGTCAGATGTCTTGTTGGACGGCGACGCACTCGTAAATTGGAATGTGTCATTCATGATGATTGCTAGTTGTATGTTTGTTTTTACTGGCAATACGAAGAAAAATGTGTATGTGTGTACGTGTGTGCGTGTACGTGTGTGTGTGTACGTGTGTGCGTGTACGTGTGTGCGTGTACGTGTGTGTGTATACGTGTGTGTGTGTGTGTGGTTGCATGCGTGTGTACATGTTTGTGATCATGTATCCTAGTTGTGGAGGCACGAAGTCTTGCTGCCAAGGACCCGAATGGTGAGGACAGATGTCGAATGCATTGATGATTTGTGTTCTTGGTATGATGTCTGCCTATTTCGAAGGGTACACTTTAGCCGCTGTAGAGTGTGAAAAAGCCTTGCAATAGTGATCCAGTAGAATGTTTTTGGGTGGACACACGCATTCCCAAAGCACTGCAAAGGACGAACTGATTCCGTTTCATTATAAACATTGTTTCATTCGTACCTGCCCATGGCATATTGCCGAAGCGTTTTACGGTAGGACTTGGTTTGGTTCTTTGCAGTGCTTTGAGAATGGGTGTGACCACCAGACTACTTTCTACGTATGAAGCTGCAAAACAAAATCACGGTTCACGTTAGATTCGGCTGGAGACCGAGTTTTCCGCATTCCCAGGAACGTCACCATCCTCTAGGATCAAGGCGCAGATGCAGCTCCTAAAGCAGTGGGAGGTGAGTAGATCAGACCCACCACAAAGTGGTCAAAGACCGAAAATCCCATTTCACTGCCTCCATGTTTCTTTCGTGCCGGGCCGCGAGTTCCCAAATTAACTGTGGGTCGCAGCACGGATGGAAAAAATCCTTCCGCTTTAAAGCAGGACTTGAGCCTGGTAGCCTCTGATTCTCAATCATGGTCTTAGACCACCCCACTATGCCTGCCTGAAGCTGCAAGGTGCCGCGAAATTACTTCTCCATAGTGATTTAGCTCACCGTAAAACAAGTTGGCAGAAACTGGAAGCTCCATTGTTGTGCCCAGCCACTGGAGCTTGCAAAGTGTGACGTCATGACTGAAGTAGCCCTTGGCAACATGACTAGGATCTGCCATTTTGTTGTCACCGATCAGTCTGTTATGATGTTGCAGATACCGATGCGGGTAGTTTTACGGGGCCGATCTCTCAGTTCTTCGGCACTCGAACGTACTGTAGAATACTGGAAGACATGGCTTTCGTTCTGGTCTTCTATTATTCCACTATGTTTTTTTTCAGGCTTTAGCGACCCCTATGTGATCATCGGCATGGAGAGCAAGACACGGAAGACGCATCGGCACTTGGACGAGTAAGCGGCCATGCATTTCTTGCACCATGTTCTTTCGTATTAGGGTGTGCACGCTCCACTGCAGCCACTTCATTACATGAAAAGCCTACACACACTATCCTCAACAGGGGCGTCGGACAGTATTTTAGTGTGGTACGGACAACCATCTGAAGCACAGTTTATTCGTGGGGGAGCGGTGGCCGAGCCGAACAATTTGGAAATTTAGAATCCAGATCAGTGTATTTTATTGATTCACGGGGTACCGGGGGCAAAAAGTGGCACGGCCAATACCGTAGTGACCGTGCCGTGTCCGACGCCCCTGCTCAAAGCAAGTAGTCTCTTCGCTGCAAATTACAAATTGCTCAATCAAGTTTTCCGCCAGGAGCCAACACCAGGCTTCGTGTTCTGTCTTTAAATTAGTACTTCCAAGCGGTTGGAGAGCTGTGTCTTCAAACGCAAATGCCACCAAAGGGTTTATGTGGAGGCTTACAGTATCTGGTCAAGTGCTAGTCTCTATTGTTCTTTGCCTTTTCTGTGAAACCACTATTACTTCCAGATAGAATAGTTCTGCGGCCTTTTCAGAAGCCTGATTCAGACCGACTTAAGGCTTTGGCTCCGTCATAAACCCACTATTTAGCAAAAGCCATCATTTTCGTTCTAATTGTGTCGCCTCTCAGTCATAAGTAACGTTTGTTAGCCTGATGTTCACAAAATTGGGCTCTACTCTCTTCTCAGCACGAACACCATGAGCTACAGTATCACTCGACGAAATTAAATTTTGATGTGCATGCCCAGCTTCTTTAGCCTAGCAAAGTAATTCTATCAGCAGGAACACCCTCAATCCCTTTCTCCTTCAGCCATTTCAATTTCCTTGCTCGCCCAGCTCTGATTGTTTTTTTACTACCGCAGCTGGCAGCCAGCAACAGGATCCATGCAAGAATTTCGATGACTTGTACTTGAGAAAAGGGGGAATTCCCCGTTTCATACCCGAAAATGTGCTTGGAGCGAGAAAAGTGAAGTCACCCAACTTTCGATCACGATATATCAAGAACGTTCGTTTGTTGCAGACAACTAGCGAGAATATATAGTTTACGCACTTCTCTTTTGTAAATATTCACCCTGTATTTATTTATTTACTTATTTATCTAAGGATTCCCCAAAGGCTGTCCCCCTATCGAGGGGGTTTCTTGTATGGTTAGTGCGTCAGCGTTTTTCAGCCTTTACTGTGCCTAATTGTGTTCTGCCCCACCTGTGCAGCTTTTTTCACATCGGTTTGAACACACGGCTAAACGCCAAAATATCTCCGATGAGAATGGCGGCACGTGCCCGCTCGCACTCCCCGCCGCGGTCTGACCAGCGGCAGAAGACGACGTCGTCCATGCTGGGAGGTGGTGATCCGGGTCACAACGAGGGCATGTCACGGTACAAAACAACGGAGGTCGTCTACCGCTCGCTCAATCCCAAATGGGACGAGACCTTCTCTATGTGAGTAATTCAAATCGAGGTAGGAATATCAGGGTTCTAACCAGGTCAAAATAGTAGGGAGGCGGGCAGGTGAACAAGTTATCACGTGATTCATTTTTTCCATTTTTCACGGTCTTGCCATGCAAGTACAGGGCGAACCCCAACTCCATCCAAGACAAATGTGGCTTTATGATACCGCGCTGCCCCCCGCCCCCCTACCCCTCCTTTGAGAGAACCCTGAATGTAATTATGTAGGCGAGCACAGTTCATAGGTTTACTGTATGACCTGTATGACCTGGATTACAGCAACGGACCTTTATACGAGACGTTGCTAATGTAAACCATGAAGCGTTTGCGACCGTTTAGTTCGTGAATTACGATGACGGACTATTTTATACTATGATGATTGTCTCGAGTCTACAGTTTGCACCCACCCACCTATTTAATAATTAGCGCGATTTCTCTCCCCCCCCCCCCCTCTTCGCGACGATCATGAACGTTTCAGAATCGCAAAAGTTTCTGGGTTAGCAGTATAGTATTTTGATTAAAAATTCACGGTTTTGGTGAGACTGTAACTGAGTTTTCCGAATCCATAGGAACGCCACCAACCCGGGAAGATCAAATTCGCAGATGCAGCATTGTTATGGTACCCTCTGTTTGTTTCTGACGTAGACTTTTGCAGTAGATTGACCAGGACGTAATGCAGTCCAGTGTTTATTGTTGATTGATGTTCTTTGTGCATTTTTCCTATGTCTTTCTGATCACTAAAGGCGTGTTGATGACCCGAACAAAGCCGTCCTGGTGCTCTTCGTCGTGTAAGCACTTCTGGACTCCACAGTGCAGGCTGTTGTGCGGTCAAGTGTTGGATTCATGTATTCTGCTTGTGCTGTGTGTGTGTGTGTTTGTATGTGTGTGCGTGTGTGTGTGTGTGTGTATGTGTGTGTATGTGTGTGTGTGTGTGTGTGCGTGTGTGTGTGTGTGTGTGTGTGTGTGTGTGTTCCGGAGGCGGCAAGATCTGGATCGCCACTTGGAGCATTGCCTTCCTCCCCCTAACCTCTCTGACAGTACCTCCCATTTGGGAGCGGCGTGGCCAATTTCTGGCAGCTGTCAATAGTAGTAGTAGTAGTAGTAGTAGTAGTAGTGTGTGTGTGTGTGTGTGTGTGTGTGTGTGTGTGTGTGTGTATGTGTGTGTGTGTGTGTGTGTGTGTGTGTGTGTGTGTGTGTGTGTGTGTGTGTGTGTGTGTGTGTGTGTGTGTAAGTCTGTCGGATGTCTGAGGCCCTGCTCTGCCAACGTGGAACAACTGCCAGTGGAGTCCTGGTGGGGTTTCCGATGCCCACACTCGTTTTGTTTGGTGGATTCTTTTGTGGACAGTTCTTTTTGTGATGTGAAATTTGACAGTGTTTTTTCCTCTTTTTTTCAGTCGTTGTCACTGCCACTGTCAGGTTGTTGTTACAGTACAGCAGTTGTCCGTTCTATTCCATTGTTTCATCTGTTTTTCCAGTTCTGCTAGCTGATTCTCTTTATTTGCCACTGCCCCTCATGGTGCCGATGCTTGGATGGAGGTATCATAGTAGTAGTAGTGTGTGTGTGTGTGTGTGTATGTATGTATATGTGTGCATGTGTGTGGATGTGTGTGTGTACGTGAATGCGTGGGCGTCCTGGTTAGCGTATACATGCTGGCGAGTACCACAGTGCTGGCAACTGAAATCCGACCCCCTAGCGGTGCGCCCACATTCTATCGGTCTCTGTTTCGTAGTTTTACCATCCCGTGTTGGGTCTTTGCGATGTGAGCTCAGGGAGTTGGATTTCAGTTGCCAGCTTTGTAGTCAGTGTAAGTAGTACAACACGTATGTTATCATTATGACGTAATGCATGCCGTCTGTGTACCTCTCTGTGCATGCTGTTCTTGACGTCCTGTGTGCAGTGATCGAGACGAAGGCGGTGCAAGGCTACCTCAGCTTCGTGGACGCAAGGCTCTTGCTAACATTGTTGAGTAAGGAACGAAGGCGTGCTCTTCAGCTAGTTGCATCACACATTCAGGATATTATTGTGACGTCATGACATAGATGATATCTGAAATCGAAATGTCAGGCTGTTTATGTGAAAGTTTGTTGTCTGATGGTGGCCCTATGGGTTGAAACTTGGAGTTACAGCTATTTGGTCCCCACATCGCGTGCATTATTTCCTCGCACATCTTTTCCCTAGCATGTTCCCAGCAGATCCCCGCGTTCCCGTATGGCACCTTTGTTCCGTTGGCCTTGGTAGCCGCTTACACGCCTATATTTGCCATAGCTACCCAGGCCCTAGCAATTCGCAGGTCTAGCGTTCTCTCTCAACACCACTAATTACGTATTCCGTGACATGTAGTTGAATGTGTGTCACCAGCTGTGGAAGCTGTGTGCATGGATCATCATTGTAGTAACTTGTGATAGTGGCTGCATGTAGGTCGAGGGCAAAACAAGAGTTTGGATTGGAACAGCGGAGCATGGAGGCTAAGACTGCAGTCTTGCGGATAGAAACTCCCTCTTTGGCTTAGTGGTGTTTCAATGCAATCACTCCCAGCCAGTCATGCTCGGACCTGGTTCAGATTCTAGCATTTGTAAATCCAGTTTAACTTTGTTAATTGACTTTGCTTCCATTGAATTTGCTGGAAACTTGCTATCAGCAATTGTTGAACCCTTTACTGACGAAACATACATTTATCGATCACAGATGCTCGATAAATTCAACAAGTTTACAAACATTTTCAAACTATCGTAACTTGGTCAATTATCAGCCGTTTAACTCTGCTCTGCAATCATCTTTCCAGGTCTGTGCGCAGTCTGGTCAAGGCGGAGACCGATGATTTCATGGGCAAAATCGTCATCCCAATCGATGTAAGTAGACGCTGGTTACAAGAAATACCCTAGCCACGACAGGACCGACGCCACTAGGTAGATCATAGGGGCTACAGGTGCCAGTGAAGCATATATCAGGTCAACTCTGATTTAGCTACCCACACTAGTAGCAAGTATTACCTTCACTGGGGGCAGGGGTAACTGCAGTTGGATCCCGGGACGGATACCCTAATGCCGTCAATCCATTTTCTGCACCTTAGACCTGAGCCCGTAAGTGGGCTCACTTCTAAGTCCACCCAGAGGTTGGGAATTTCAGGGGGTGTCGCCCGTTGGGCGGTTCAGTAGTCAATTGAGTCATCTTTTCAAGATTCCTTTTGTTTCTCTCTCCCCTTTCCTGGGGAGACTCACGGGACCAGTTTTGGCAGTGAGCAACAAGTACAAGTACACGTGTGTGTGTGTGTGTGTACGTGTGTGTGTGCGTGCGTGCGTGCATGCGTGCGTGCATGCGTGCGTGTGTGTGTGTGTGTCTTTGTGTGTGTGTGTGTGTGTGTATGTGTGTGTGTGTGGGGGGGGGGGGGGTGTGCCAGCTAGTTCGGTTGGTGGGTACACTTATGCCTGATTGTGTTGGGTCTGTTGCCAACGGGCTTGGCTACTTGAAGGTGTAATGTTGTACCTGCCACCTTTGTTGGTTCCAGGGTTCATATACTTTCTGTTTGAAGTATACATACCTGTTAACCATGGACTGCTTCTGGCTAGATTAACTCTTGTGTAATCAACGGTGCTAGTGAAGCTTATATCAGATCCACTCTGATTTAGCCACCCACACTAGTAGCAAGTATTACCTTCACTGGGGGCAGGGTTACTTGCAGTTGGATCCCAGGACGGATACCCTGATGCCGTCAATCCTTTTTCTGCACCTTGTCCTCACCCGCTTATTGAGGTGCGGTGAGCCCATAAGTGGGAGCATTTTCAAGTCCACCCAGAGTTTTGGGGATTTCAGGGGGTGTCGGCCGTTGGGCGGTTCAATAGCCAATTGCATCATCTTTCCAAGATTCCTTTTGAGTCTCTCTCCCCTCTCCCGGGGAGACCCACGTGGCCAGTTTTGGCAGTGAGCAACAAGTACAAGTGTGTGTGTGTGTGTGTGTATGTGTGTGTGTGTATGTGTGTGTGTGTGTGTGTGTGTGTGTGTGTGTGTGTGTGTATGTATGTATGTATGTGTGTGTGTATGTGTGCGTGTGTGTGTGTGTGTGTGTACGTTTACAGTCGATACCAGTGCGCGGCCGCACCGACTGGTTTCTCCTGAAGGATGGGGAGTTTCACCATTTGACTAAGGGAGAGATCCTTCTCTCTATCAAGTATGTCCCAGCCTCGGTGAGTTCCGCTCCTATGTTTGGCCCAGCATGGGTGGGTTTTAGCTATAGAGCTTTTTCATGGTACTGTCAGCTTCGCTAATAACGACTGCGGATATAACGACAAGTCGCGAATAACGACAGAATTTCCATGCCCAGAGCAAAGTCCCATTTAACTGAAATACATATTATCGAGACTCCGAGTGTAAGGACACTTCGCGAATATGGACACTTTTCTGACGCCCCGCCGAGTGTCGTTAAGACTCGTTATACGCAAAGACCAGTGTACCATATTTTGGTCATGTGATGTTCACCAGCGCTTGACCTTTTTGTTCTTTCATAAGGTACGTGTGATCCATGTAGTGACAATGAACGGTTGGATGAGTGTTCTTTTTTGCGAAGCGCGCCTTCGCACCATGATCGCTAACGAGCTGGGTGTATTTGTTGGGTTATGCGTGTACTCGCAGCGTGCACTTGCGGAGGACGTGAGTGTCGAGGAGGCGGCCTCACTGGTGAAAACACTTCTCAAGCTCATGTACACGCATGAGTTTATGGATGTTCTGACTTACAAGGTAAGTTGACATCACACCGCGTGCATGAACAAGTACACAAAAAGTATGTAAATTGTTGTGTTTGTTCCCGGGGGAGCACACGACGGCCACTTAAGACCTGGCATATCCACAGGGTGTGAAAGAACCGGGTATTTTGTATGCCTAAGGCAGTCTTATGTGGCGTCCGCGAATGTGTGCTGTCGTGTGAGAGTCGGTCTTTGTCTGTTCTTTTATTGGTTTGAGTGTGGAGAAGGCGCATGATTGAGACATCTGATGTTAATAATGATAGTACCTCATCTCTGTCTCTCTCTTCCTATCTCTCCCTCCCTATGTCTCTCTCTCTCTCTCTCTCTCTCTCTCTCTCTCTCTCTCTCTCTCTCTCTCTCTCTCTCTCTCTCTCCACCACAACAGCAGAGAAGTCCACAACAAGCGTTCGGTATAGGCCTACAACCCGCTCACCAGTGCATTATTGATCAGGTTCAAGCACAGCTGGACATCACCGACGCCGACCTGACGGCAATGTTAGTGCACCTACTTGTGTGTATTGTACCTGCCTAGGTACTGTGTTAGATTTGCCATGGTGACAATGCCATGTTTGCCATAGCAACCCGCTCGCTAGCATTGGGTAGCTATGTTAGTGGACCTACTTGTGTGTATTGTACCTACCAAGGTACTGTTAGACTTGCCATGGTGACAGCGCCATGTTTGCCATAGCAACCCACTCTTTAGCATAGGGTGGCAATGTTAGTGACCTACTTGTGTGCCTTGTACCTACCTACGTCACTACGGTATTGACCATACCACTTTTTGCACCAGGTACCCCGTGAATCAATATAATACACTGAACTGGGATCTAAAAAGAATTCCAAAATTTTCGGCTCAACAACCCCTCCCACTCCAGTAAATTGTTCTTCAGATGGCTGACCGCACCACACTAAAAAACCTTCCGAAGCCCCTGCTACTACTGCACAACACCTCTGCACAGTTGGGTAATCAGTTTTATATGCGTCATCCCTGAGCTTTCCATGTGATGTAAGTGAGTGGCTGTCTTTTTTTTCTTGCAGGAAGTTGCTAGCATTCCACAGCCTAGCCATGGACCATGACATCGTGCCGGCAACTCGCGAGACAGTGGTCGGGGCTATTCTTTCCGTTGACCAGGTCGGGGAGAAGATTCCCAGCGCGTCGGCTCTGTCTCCGTATTTGGTGAGTGCGTGCATTGGAATGTGTCAGAACTAAATTGTCACAGGAGGTCTTCTCCTCGAAACAAGAATAGCGTGCAGTGGCTCTGCCCTGTTTAGACACAGGCTTTAGAAATCGTACTTTTCATTACTGCCAGCATTCTTTGTGCATATGATGAGCAGAACTGATGGGTGCAGTATACCTTAGGACCTAACAGCGATAGTAGTAATATATCCACTCCACTCGTATGGACATCATCATTTCTCCGTGCATGCTCATGTTTTGTTTTCGTCAACCACCGCACCATAACTGCGCTCTCCAGCCGACTTCGACTCGACTTTGCCACAGCACTTGACCAGCAATGCGACGCACACGTTGGTAATCGGTTCCTTCGTACTGCTGTTTCGACTATCAAACTCTCGTCAGTGAAGGTTGATATTTTCGAACGGCTACAGGGACATAGCGTGTCCCCCTTTCAGGGGATGCATGGCCGCTTCACCTAAGTGGCCATCCGTAAGTGGGCCATCCAAAGCATATACAGACCCAAGGGGTCAAAATTTGGAAAATTGTTTTTTTGATTGGAATTTGTTTATATGGACATAGTGAACCTCTGTACAAAATTTCAGACTGGTACGACACATAAATCAAGCTTAAAATCACTTCATTATGTCTTGGGGTCCATATTCTACGTTCGCAAACAGTATTTTCATCTTTCACCGTCGTTTGTTCCACATACACGATGTTTTCTAAGCCCAGGTTGCTTCTTTGCCTTAGATAAGGTAGGGCAGTACTTCCTTGTTGAGGTAGGAGCAGCGCTGTTGCGACGATCCACCAGGCGCAAGGATGGCAGGGTGACCGCCTGGCACGCCAGCATTAGCTTTCAATAAGTTTTTCTAAAATTCAGGACCATCGCAGATCTCACGCGCCCACACTGTTCCAACATTGCACATATATCTGTTTGCGGCTTTATAAACTCCACATCAGAGCACTGATTGACCGAAGTCCTTTTGAAAACTTCATAGGACACTGCATCATCTTCCTCACATTCTGCATACCACTTGTACACAAGGAGCTTGGACAGTGATGCTGGCAGGTATGTTGGGGATATTCCTGCTCTGCCCCGTGGTGCAGCTGGCTGTGGCATCCCATGGACGGCTGCATACTTCCTAATGAAGGTCACAGCATGCTCAGCAACATCCCCAAGAGTCACATTCACATGCGATTTGCCAGCCAAGCCATGCAAGGGTTGTTCTGCTTTCGCATCGTCCACAATGCCCTGTAAGGCTGTAGCGACTTTAGCATGTAAGGACTGAGACCAAACACATCGAGCACCACAGACTGACAAACCTGAGATCCCAGCAGTGAATACGAATAGTGGTGTCGAGCTGAGCCAGGTTCAGAGCGAAGCGCAGTTGTCAGAACGCCCACAATGAAAACTTTGCTTTCTTTTTCAGCTGCTTCGCGCTGAACTTCTGTAGCTGCTTCGCGCTGAACATAAGCTCTTCCAGCAGCTTGGGCGACGGCGATTCGTAGTGGTTCTTGCCCTTACAGCTGCAGCCGGATGACTTCAGGTCTCAACTATCTGCAGTGATTAGGGCACGCTCTTGATCTGCTGATCCCTGCCCTGTCGCGCCGGCGCCGTCATCGCTGTCGGAAGCAGTGAAAAGTTTGTTGTGTACAGACTAACTGGAACTGCGCTGAGGGCTTCTCCGTAGTCGACGCGTTTCTTCTGTAACTCGATGCTGCTATCACTGTCAGATGAGCCATCTGAGTGCCATCTGAGTGCCATCTGAGTGCCATCTGAGTGCCATCTGAGTGCCATCTGAGTGCTCCTCCGCGGAAGCTGCCTGCTGTACTTGACCCTCAGCGGAGCTTGACTCGCCCGACTCGGAATTTTAATAGTAGCTCGCGTCAAGTGGTTCAAGTGCATTTCGCTCTTCCGCAGCCAGCCCTATGGGCTCCAAACTGCGACGACGACTCATTCTGCATGTGCACTACACTCGATCCAACAAACTTGTGAGCTTTTCTCAAGATCGTCTTCTTCAAAGGATAGTCGCCCACTCGCCTTCTTATCGACGACAAGGATGTAGTCGAAACAAAAATAATCTGATCACTTCCAAGCCGCGCACGCTTTACCAGAACGTTATGTCACCTTTGAAACGTCATAACTTGATAATTGATATCAAGGTGCTTAGGTTGTTTTCTGCCTTGGACGGCCCAAATACCGATGTTTATTAGAAACGAAAAACTAGTCATTTCTCTGCACGAATATTTTTTAGGGCAGGGGTGCATGTGCCCCATGCCCCATACGGGCTACGCCACTGAGGTAATGAATGCTCATGTTCCATGTATTGTGCTGTATTTTCACTTGTTCACTCGTATGTCAAGGCCAAGGACTTGTCCCGGACGCTCGATACCCTGGGCAATGCCATGCTGCAGTGGGGTAATCGCCTCCACGAGCTCTTCCCACCCAGCGACAACGCCAGTATGGACATCATCGAAACCCTGCGGTGAGAGCGAATGTATATGACTTATCATATGACTGTGTAACCATGGACACGGCCAAGCAATGGCCGTAGAGAGTGCAAAGCATTTCGGTACATGCCAGCTCCTAATGGAGCCAATATATACCAATAATTTTTGGATACTTCTAGGCATGTCCAGTAATTGAAGGCAAGGATGTGTGCCTCTGTGCGTGCGTGCAAACACATGCGTTTGTGTATGCGTATGTGTATGTTCTTCGCACAGTGTATTCAAGAGCGTCATGGCCCTGCCGTTCTACATACAGCACAATCAGCTGTCACCGGACTACGCAAGAAAAAGGCTGGAGACCGTTTTGAAGGTTCGCATCCAGCTCCATTCTCCCTATCCATTTCGTTGCTGTAGAGCAATACATAATATACCTGGTGTATTCACTACAAGTGATTTTGCCACAGCAGAAGCAAGGCAGAAAGCTGAAAATCTGTGCTGGTGATCTCCTCAAAGTGATTTAGCAAGGAAAGCGGATGAACAAATTTTGGAATCTGTGACCCACTATTTGTGCATCTTGGTGGACATGTAGTCAAGACTGCAAGTCGACGGAGCTCCCTAAACCTCACCGCTACTGCCGCGAGCCATGTTGTGCGTGCTTCCCCAGCTGCAGCTCATACTTAGCATTAATTTTAAAAGTGGTTTTAGTAAAAAAATAAATAAAACCCTGACGGCGGTGCATGGACCCGACCCCATTCTTTTTCAACGGATACTACACTGGATTACGACCGTATCACATTAGTCGTCTAAACGCACTCGGTCTCTCCGATTGCCGCTAGCCAAACCTTCGGGGCCTGACCCACCTTGCAAATGGACTGGAACAAGAAAGCAAGGAAAGTGCCGGGTATGACGAGCCAAATATGAAAATTACTGAGTTTAGTTATGTCTGCAGCATGTGTGTGTGTGTCATGTTATAATATTGTGTGTCATGTGATGTATAATCATGATGTGATGTGTTTCATGTGATGTGTGTGTCATGTGATGCGTGTCACGGCGTGTGTAATGTGATGTGTTTAATGTGGTGTGTGTGTGTCATGTGATGTGTGTCATGTGTTGTATGTCATGTGATGTGTGTGTCATGTGATGTGTGTGTCATGTGATGTGTGTCATGTGATGCTTGTCATATGATGTGTGTCATGTGATGTGTGCCATGTGATGTGTCTGTCATGTGATGTGTGTGTCATGTGATGTGTGTGTCATGTGATGCGTGTCATGTGACGTGATGTGTGTCATGTGATCATCAGGACGCGGTCGGAGAGTTCTACAACAGTTTCGGTATGCCCGCTAGCTATTCAGAAGAAAAACATCCGCAAACGGCCGGCCACGGACTGCGGCTAGCGTTCAGCGAACGAATACAGAGTGCACCCTACGGCACAGTGAAGCAGGTCGTGAAAGGGTCGCTCCGAGGAAGCAAACCGATTGCTGGGATCCGCGTCAATCCAGAGGTGTGATTCCGAGGCTCAGTGTGGGATGTGTTCTGTAGGTGTGTGTGTGTGTGTGTGTGTATGTGTGTGTGCGTGTGTGCGTGTGTGTGTGCGTACGTGCGTGCGTGTGCACGCATGCGTGTGTGTGTGTGTGTGTGTGTGTGTGTGTGTGTGAGGGAGCTGTGTGGTGGATACCAGGCTAAAAATAGTGGCGGTCAATTCATCAGCCTTGCAAGCTGTTGAATGGTGTAATCCCAGCGCAAGTTGCTATGTCTAGCATAGCTGTTCGCTATCATCGCTTCCGCGATGGGCATGTCTAAGGTCTGAGGGAGGGGGGGGGGGGTATTGTAGTCATGAGATGGGGATGCACTGCCATCACCTGGCTTTCACCCCAAATCGGACACTACCTTTTGAAACAGCACACGTACAATACTTATGGTGCCTGTATTCCATGGCCTGTGCTAGTATTGTAGTTTTCACCAAATTTCTTTAAGTGTTCAAACCAAATGCACGTCTGTCCATTGACATCTCCCACTTTCTTGTCGCTCGCTATTGTATGGTGCCGGTGCCTGAGACTGGACGGGTTTGCACCTAACACGGGTTTGTATGTCACTCCTTCTATCGAACACATCAACCAAGCGAGCGCATCCGTGTTCCTCTAGCTCCGGGTGGTCTCTGCCGCAACGGGTCACATTTTGTCAGCCGTGTTGTTTCCAACCCAAACTGTTCATGTGTATGCAGTAGTACCATAAAGTACGGTTGATCCTTTGAATTGGGTACCCCAAACCGACTGCTGTTGCTTTCTAGAGTGCCCAATGTAATGAGACCAAGATTCTCTGAAGGTAGCGGCAGGGGTGAAGGGACACCGATCCAAAGTGAGCTGGTTTCCAACGATCAGCGCATGTGAAAGATAATGTGTTCAGGTCATAGTGTGAGCTGAATACGAGGGCATGCAATTGCCCCGCTGTCACCATAGTAACACACACACACACACACACACACACACACACACACACACACACACACACACACACACGCACGCAGATTTCTGTTTTCTGGACGGGGACTGGTTCAGGTCTGGAGGAGGGGCAACAACGAATACCCTCGCTGTGATGTTGTGAATGTGGACCAAGAGCGCAGTGTAGAGTGGTGGAGTGTCTCAAAAAACAGGTCACTTTTGCTAGTGTACTGTTCCTGTGCACCCTATATCACTACACCAAGCCACATTCAGTTTTGTTTTGTTATTGTGGCGTGCCTCCGCAGCAAGTCAAGGAAGGACCTGTGGCGTTTCTCAAGGCACGCACAGACCTCATACCGGAGTTGATAGCGTACTTTGAGAGCACGCTACAGCAGTACGCTACCTACGAGAGCCTGTTTGAAAGGTATGCCGTTCAGTGAAGAAGTACCCTGGAATAGGATACTCGAAGTTCTTTTTTGCTTGTATTGGTGTAAAAGTACTTTTCATGAAGACTACCATTTCCAGTCGTTTGACCTTGGTTATAGAGTGGTTTCACAGCTATCACATGACCATGCAGGGCAGCCATGTTGGTTCCGACTCCACTCAACCCCTGCATCTATGGGTCATGTGATGTCGGTAGCCATGTTGGTTCCAACTCCCCTCAAATCCTGCACCTATGGGTCATGTGATGTCGGTGGCCATGTTGGTTCCAACTCCATTCAACCCCTCCATCTATGGGTCACATGATGTCGTTGGCCATGTTGGTTCCAACTCCATTCAACCCCTCCATCTATGGGTCACATGATGTAGGCCATGTTGGTTCCACTGTGCACGTGTCATGATCACTTTTGGCACAAATAAAGTCACATGACAAGCTGATGTGAAACCACTCTCTCTCTATACACTGCTAAATGAACAGATGTTTACGTCTGTTGGACGTACACTACACTGCGGTAGTGGTTGGTTCTCTCTTGTTCACTCTCTGGTGGTGGTACCCAACTGAGACGAGAGAACGATGTCTGATTCGACTTACCCACCATCCGATGTTGTGCTGTAATGTCAACCGTCTCCCAATGTTCGAACAGGGATGTTGGTTGAAACACACCTGGGGGAGATAGCGGTGACTACACGCCTGCCCACACAACGCCCTCTGAACTGCACAGTGCTGGCAAAGAGAAAGAGCATTGTTTGCCAGTCTGTTGCTGCTTACAGTCCTTTCATGGGAAACAGTCCCGCTGGTATTTGACAGTCCAATTTGGGCTGAATTGTGAATCAAAAACCCACTTTGAATCTCAAAAATCTGGGTTTGGGTTCTGCTTCTCCATACATAATGCCATGGCATACCTGTCCTAATTTTGTAAAACCTGGCTAAATTTCTATTTCCCTGTTCTTGGACTTTTTTGGCCTCGAATGTGGCAAGGAGTAATTGCACGGATCACACAATGCAGGGTGTACTGTTGTTTTCACCATATCTACAACTACTGTAAAAGCCATAACGAAGTGCTAACTCTAACGAGTTAACGAGGAGAAATCTGTCGTTAAAATAGAAATCATTATACAGAAATTGATACATATACTGTCCTATTGAGCGTTGAGAATAAGTGAGAATCGTTACCTTTGGTACACGTAAACCAGTCAATTTTGGGAAATCGTTATATATGCGCCTCGTTAGAATAATGGCTTTTACAGTATATGCGGGAGCCACCAAAAGGTTCGGGTGCCAGTTTCCAATGAATGGACTGTAGAGAGTGTTGTGTGGGCAGGCATGTATTCACCGCCGGTTCATAAGGCATGTTTTAGCTTCTATCCATCACTTCTCTTCGTTTTGATACGTTCTGATGCTGCATTCGAGTCTCCACAGGATTCTACTCTGTCTTCCGATGTTGTGCTTTGCCCAGGGGGAATGTTTGTAATTGTAAGAATACATACAGTACAGGAAAACCTGTGACTAAAGACCACCCCTTGCCCTTGGGGCCAGAGAAAGTGGTCTTTAGTGGCAGGTGGTCCTTAGAAAGAGGTTTGCACCGCACAACCATAATATATGAATGTGATGCTGTACGTAAACTTCTGTGTAGTCACTCACACATCACCCTATCTCCACACGCAACCCACGACGGCACTGTATTGTATTCTACGTGCTTATGCTCCTCTAGGAATGATGTGAAGTACACACGGATTGTGATTGAAGCACTCGGGGCCAAGGTAAGGGATGCGAGAAAAGGAGGGAAAGATGAGAGTGTGAAATATGCGCGTGTGTGTGTGTGTACTTGTGTGTGTGTGTGTGTGTGTGTGTGCTCACACGCGTGCATGCATGTGTGTGTGTGTGTGTGTGTGTGTCTTTTGTGTGTGTCTTTGTGTATTTCTATGTGTTTCTTTATTTGAATTTGCAAAGCAACACACTGGGTACAATTAATTGCATGGAAGCAAGCATAGATAAAAAAGAGTGTGCAACTCGCGGATGGGTTGGCCAACAGGCGGAAATTATTCTTGACGTAATATTTTCTACAACGCAGTCTTCTGGGAAGTTATGCCTCGTGCACTTGGCCAGGTTTCAGTGCGCAAGGTCGGTGCCCAGCATGTGCTCTCACACTGCCATGCTCGAAAAGTTCGTGCTCTGTCAAAAGATGACGCCAACAAAAATTTCCGCCGTGGGCCGGGGTATCTGCAGCTTATGCAAGAGAGATGTGGAGTTTGCACATTCTTGTTATCTACTCTCGATGGAAGCAAATTGAAATCTGAGAATTGAATGAAACTAGAGGGGTTCAAGGAAGGTGGAGAAAGATCATAGGTGTATACATTGTGCTGAAGCTATTTTAATTAAAACGTTTGTGTGTATACCTGTGCTGAAACATGCACATTTTCCTACATGCCCACTGCCATATGGCTATGCTGGTGTGCCGCAGGCAGGCATAGTGGGATGGTCTAAGACCATGATTGAGAAACAGAGGGTACCAGGTTCAAGTCCTGCTTGGAAGCGGAAGGATGTTTTTCCAGCCGTGCTGCGATCCACAGTGAATTTGGAAACTCGTGGCGTGGCACGAGGAAAACATGGATGCAGTCAATGGACTTGTCGGTCCTTGACCACTTGCTGGTGAGCTGTTGTACTCACCTCCCACCGCTTTAGGAGATGCATGTGCACCTTGATCCCAGTGTTACCAAGTGGCCTCTACCCCCATGCGTATTGGCCAGCGCCATTTTGCAGAATTTTTCAGAGGTTTCCGTACTCGTTTTTCAGGTCAACATTTTGATTGATTAGTTCAACTGTAAAGGCTACGCACGAATTCAGTACAATTTTCAACTTCACTAGGTCATAACTTTGTTCTACTTCGCTTTATTTTCACAATCTAGGGCTCGTTGGAAAGCTCTAGGCAGGAGCAACGCCAGGATGCCAAGCACCATTATTAAGCCGCCACAAATCAGGCGCGGTAACACAGCAAAGTCGTCTCCAAGCCTAATATGCAAGCAAATCGTCCCATCAACACCATTCGACTCTCCTTCATCGCAGAACGCTCCAAATTGTTCGAGACGATTCAAACTTCAGCCGGCTTCATCATTATAAAGTGCTCAATTGCTCAAAGGGCACGCAAAAAGGATCCCCCCCAAAAAAATGGCGAAGAGTTCGATGAAAAATTTAATTTTGCCAAGGTAAGAATACCTGAATACGGCGCGCGATATCTCTGGAGTCCGACGTCGCTTCAGCGATTGTTGCATTGGGCGGCTTGGAGTTTTTGCTACCGCGTATATACCCTTCGATTGTTGACTTTGCACAAGAAACGATGGAGTTATGATGGTTTTAAGTAATCGATCATATACATGATCGTTTGCGGGATATTCGATTGAAATCCGTACTGCGGACAAAACTTCGTTTTTCCGTAAAAATACGGACAAATACGGGCGGTTGGCAACACTGTGATCCTCGAAGGGTGGTGGCGTTCCTACGGATGCGGAAAACTCGGCCTCTAACGTAGTCTCACGCGAACCGTGACATTCTTTATTTTTTTGTTTTGTTGGTGTGTTTGTACCCATACACAGATAGTTGAAGAGGTCACTACCCTTGTTGTCATGGGAACAAAACACGTTGACTCCGGTGCCGGAGAAGATAAGAAGGTGGTTTTGTCGGTGATGAAGACACTCATACGGCTCTTCACGATATCCAAGGACGTCAACAAGTTCACAAGGTTTGCTACTGGTTTGCCATAATGCATAGAGGGCGAGACAGGAACTAAGAGACAGACAAGGAAAACTGAGGGAGCTTTTGAAAGTCGGATTCAGGACGAATTGAAGATCAAAAACCCACTTTAAATCTCAAAAATCTGGGTTTAGGATCTGCTTCTCCATACATTTTGCCATGGCATACCTGTCCGAATTTTGTAAAACCTGGCTTAATTTCTATTTCCCTGTTCTTGGACTTTTCTGGCCTCAAATATGGCAAGGAGTAATTGCACGGGTCACACAATGCAGGATGTACTGTTGTTTTCACGATATCTACAACTATGTGAGAGAGAGACACCAAAAAGTTAGGGTGCCAGTTTCCAATGAATGGACTGTAGGGCCTTGCAAGCTATTGAATGGTGCAATCTCAGCACAAGTTGCTATGCACAACATAGCTTGTTCACTATCATCGCTTCAGCGATGGGCAGGAGTATGAGTATGAGTATGGGTGTGTGTCTGCGTCTGGGTCTGTGTGCATACGTATGCATTGTTCAACTGCAGACGGGTGATTGAGAAAGAGGTGATCTCGGTGGAAAAAGTCTTCCAACCGGTTTTGCCCTATTTTGTCGTCACATGGACCCAAGTCACATCGGATCACCTAAGCAAGGCAGCTGAACTGGATCCCGTGAGTGCCATCACACATCAAGCATGCAAAGCCGCTTGTAGTTTCTAACACAAGAATCCTGATTATACTGTTTGTGGACATTGAAATCCGTTTGCGAAGTCAAGCGGCCGTGGAATGCTGGACGTGCAGCCATAAGCCCTGTGCTTCTGGTCCGTTTGTTAAAGTGTATGAGTGGGCTACGGTGGATGTATTGCGCTAAGGGCCAGTAAGGGCGCCATCCTCGGTCATTCCATTGGATTTCACTGTACACAACAGTACAGCACATCCTGTTGAGGGGAGAGGGAGTATCTTAGTTCACACGCCGTACAGCCGGACACATGTAGATACAAGGTTTGAAACTCTGTGTTCCAGTTTTGTATCTTTGAACTTGATCTGATGACCAAATGTATATGATTTATGATGGAATGTGTGTGCAGGCTTCTAGCCAAAGGGGTGCGGGGAGGAGGGAGGGGAGAGGGGGGGGGGGGGGGCTGTGCCCGCTGTGCCCCCCCCCCCTCCCCAACCCTCTAGTCGGTTGGCTTGCCGGCCTTCTCTGACAGCGCCCCACCCTACACATTTCTCGTTGTTTTTCAGTTTGCAGAACGAAATGCGGCCACAAATCGATTGTTCCGGGTGCTTGCTGCGCCTGTACGTTGTATTTGATGTGACAGGGCAATAGTGGATCATGGAAACAGTAGGTGATCTGTTTACTTCCCCCTGCCCCCCAATACAAGTTTTCTTGGCTAGAACCTTGTTGTGTGTGTGTATGATTGTGTACGTGTGTGTATGTGTATATGATTGTGTGTGTGTGTGTGTGTATGTGTGTGTGTGTGTATGATTGTGTGTGTATGATTGTGTACGTGTGTGTATGTGTGTGTATGTGTGTGTGTCCGCATTTGTATGTGTGTACGTGCATACACGTGCATGCTTGCCGCTATGTTCACAGATGAGTGAAGTCGTAGATGGGCAGCTCTACTCGTACTCCGCTATAGATGTTTGTCTAATTTACAACAGGGTCAGTACACATATCACTAATCACTACCCTGCTAATGCCACAGCGTCATCATAACATTGGACATGATTGCCCGTTTGACTTGCGAAGTAAAATAAAAGCAATACATTACAATACAGTACCACTCGCATATCACTAATCACTACCCTGGTTTACAACAGTACTGCTCAGATAACACGCACCTCCTGGCACCTTTCTGAAGCAGCCGCAGACTCCATTGCAGCCATTCACACATTAGGGTGCCTCAACGCAAACACTCAATAAGACGGTCTCGTTGCTGCTGCTGCTGCCTACGTAATTTAAACTGTTCCTTGGTGGGGAACGGGGTGGAAACGGGGTGGGAACGGGGTGGGAACGGGGTGGGAACGGGGTGGGAACGGGGTGGGAACGGGGTGGGGAACGGGGTGGGAACGGGGTGGGAACGGGGTGGGAACGGGGTGGGAACGGGGTGGGAACGGGGTGGGAACGGGGTGGGAACGGGGTGGGAACGGGGTGGGAACGGGGTGGGAGTTGACGTACCCATACATGCTGGTACCTAATTACAGTGAAACCTGGTTTAAGCGACCCCCACGCTGCAAGCAGAGGCGGTCGTTAAAGCCAGGTGGTCTTTAGAACCAGGTGGTCTTTAGAACGAGGTCCTACAGTGTCTGTGTAGAACTGTTGGTGCGGGGGGGGGGGGGGGGAACGGTCGTTAAGAGCAGGTGGTCGCTAAACCCAGAGGTCGCTTACACCAGGTTTTAGTAAACTTGTTTCTGCTTGTCAGAACTGCGAGCCAACGGCGGTCTATTCTGCGTGGCGTGCACGCTTCGGTCCCAAGTTTCTTGGGCATTTGTCGAAAGCATGTCTTGTGCGTGTTTGACGAGGAGCTGCTGCTCTCGCTTGCGTATGTGTTCATTTTGTCATTGTATGTTATTCTGTGTGTGTTATGCATGCGGGCTGCTGGGGCGTGCACGTGTTGCGGATGTGTGGGAAATCAGTCTTCCTCCAGTTGTGTTTCTGTTGTCTCTTTGTAGTAAATCACTGAAAGTGTTGAAGCTGCCACGGGGCACAAAGGCTAGAGTATCAACAAGAGCAAAATGAATCATTACCTTCAGCAACTTTACTAGTACTGTAAAGTGACAAACATTCGCGGGGCGCAAATTTAGCGTTTTCATAAATTGAGCTGGTTCACGATGAGAAACTTTTGCGATTCGATCTCTGCAGTCGGATCTTGTACTGTCTACAATCAATGTACGGAGAGGTTTGCGGCGATTTATTTCCGCGGACGTGTGATGTTCGAGAATGTAACGAAATTTAATCTCTAGCGAAAGTTTCTCACTTTACAGTATTCTAACCCGGAAAACTGTTCAAATTGCTAAATTTACACTCGTTTAACCCATGCAACACTTTCTCAATGAAATGCGAACAGGGGAATATGCTGCCTTCCACTGTTCGCACTTGTACAGACTACCGCTCATTTATTCGCTCATGCTTAACCTTCCTAGGGGCTCCCGTAAGAAGACCATAGGTCTGTGGGAAACACCCTAGTAAAATAAAAGTTAAAATTATGAGTCTTGTTTAAAATCGTCCGTGTGTGGAGATGTCACGGGCCTGGGAGTTGAGTAGAATGCCAGTTAGAAGAACATTTGCACAATTTCATGCTCACCTCAGGTTCTCGCCGACTGGGACATCCTCTCTGATTGGCCAGATGAAGTGTCCAGGCTGATGATCATGGTATTGGTCGTAAAGGTGAGGTATGCACATGTATTCCTTTTTTCCTATTTCAGTTGATACATACGTTGCCTTGTCCAAGGGATTAGAGTGCTGTCTTGAGATACGGCAGTGATGTCATAACGATGATTTAGTCCTTGATTCTAGCTTCATCCATTGTGATTGGGTAATGACATCATCAGGGAAGTATTTCATATTAGTTCACTGGATGCATTGCAATTGAATGATGTCATCGTTACTGAAGTGAGCCCTGGGGCTTACATGGCAGCAAATGCATATTATCCAGCCAGCTTACAGCGCAATTACATCTCCATGACATTACCCTCACCCTACTCCCCCACCCTGGACATCACTATGATATCTCCATGACATCATTATGACATCACCATGACGTCACCATTGGGCAATATCTCACAGGCTCGAGTCGTGTGCATTGGCTAGGTATGCACGTGTGATACATGACATCATCACTGCTATTCCACTTCCTCTCTTCACTTGCTTGTAGCTGATCTGCGAGGGCTGCCTGAGCTACTCTGTCTTGGCACACGAGCGTATTCGCCTGATGGAGGTGGGTCAGGCATTGCATCCCAACGACCTCATTGATCAGGTGAGTTGTGTAGTCTGCATACCTCTGCCGTTTCAGCTGCTCTCTGTCAACTGTTGTTTGTGTACTGCTGGTCCTTGTGTGTTCATGAAAGTGTGCATACAATTTCATTCTCTACTTCTTGGGGATAAAGTATGGACTTAATAGCTGTTTTGTGTACTAGTTTGTCTATTTGGGTCTGTGTGTCTGTTTGTGTGTCTGTGCGTGTCTGTCTGTTTGAATGTCTATATGTCCGTCCGTCCATTTGTGTGTCCGTCCGTTCGCCCGTCTGCCATTTCCAGTCTGCAATCATCCGCAACAACATCACGTATGTCATTGACCACATGCTGCTGCGCCTGGTCAGATGGTTCACAGAGAGCTCGCAGGCCAGCAGCAGCCGACTGGAGAGCGGCAGCTGTAGCAGTCTGGACCGCGGCTGGAAGATGTTCAAACGCATGCCGGGCAGCGAGCGACGAAGCTCTCGCCGCCTCTCTGCCGACCTTAGTGACGGCCTGGACGTCGAGGACGAGGAGTGTCTCAATGCTGACGAGGTGTCCTCATTTCGCAGCCGCTGCCTGGGCATCGTGCGCAAGCTTGTGACCACCACCGAGCAGCATATGGACAACTGTATTCAGCCGGCACATCGTGCACTGCTCCGCAAGGTAAGCTTGCGGGGACGCTCAAGCTAGGTTCCGGATTCATCATGATGTGTGCTGGGTTGGAGAGGGGTGTAAGTGACCTGCGGGGGTGTAAGTGACCTGCGGGGGGGGGGGGGGAGGGGGGAGGGAGGGGGAGTATATGTAATTCGGGGAGGATGGGGTGCATACATACATGTATGTGATCTGGGGCCATGCATAATTATGTAATGGGGGGGGGGGGCAGGGGGTTGAGAGGGGTGTAAGTGACCTGGTGGGGGGAGATGGGGGGATGGGGAAGTATATGTAATTCTGGGAGGGTGGGGTGCATACATAAAATGTGATCTGGAGGCCATGCATAATAATTATGTTATGTGTGGGGGGGGGGGGGATGCATTTATTATAAATACGAAAGTCCACTGTATTCCCGAATAGGCATGAGAAGTGGAAGCGGGGCCAGGCTGCTTTGCCGACCTTAACCCTTTCACTGCCGCTGTCGACTGCAGTCGACAAGATGTAAAGTGCGTGTAGTGCCGCTGTCGACTGCAGTCGACAGCCACTTGCGGTATGGTCAGTGCCGCTGTCGACTGCAGTCGACAGAACTAAGTACTAGCTGTAGTGCCGCTGTCGACTGTAGTCGGCAGTACGAGTGGGCGAAAGTCGGAGGTTATTTTGGGTGTTTCTTTGGGTTCCTGGGCCGGTTATCCCACACAAAGGTCTAGATGGAGAAACGCCCTGCCGAAAGACGTGGGTTGTGATAGGGGTTTGTATTCTATAAAAAGTCGAAACGCGCCGTTGAAAAAAGCAGCACAAGTGCAGCACTTGAAAACTGAGGAAGAACGAGCTTTTTTTGGAGATGGCAGGGAATGTTGTTGCAAGCGCTAGCGCTGCCGTTACGAGCCTAGATGAGGATCTAGAAGACATTTTCGGTGCCTCTTCTGATGAAGAAGAGTTCTTGGGTTTTCCAGAGTCGGAATCGAGCGATTCGGAATCGGACGATGAGGCTTTGCCTGCTACTTGGCAGACAGCGTTTCCGCAGAGTGACGCAACGTCAAATGCGTGGCTACCTGTCCTGGAGAAGACGCCAGGATCGAACCTGGCTGATGTAGATCCGGATAAAATCAAAGCCATTGACACCTTCGAAGCTTTGTTCGACGGCGCAATAGTTCAAAACCTGGTGACGGAGACGAACCGATATGCCCACCAGCGCATTCGTAAGCTTGGCGACCGCCATCCAAATTCCTGACTCCGACAGTGGCGTGACACGACCAAGGAGGAGATGCTGGTATTCGTCCTGCTCGTTCTGGCTATGGGGACTGTCCAGCAGCCCGAGGTCCGCGCCCACTGGAGTGATCACTGGCTGTTTGCGACTCCAGGATTTACGAGAGTGGTGGCACGCAACTGATTTCAGCTCCTGGTCGCGTGCCTTCACTTTGTCGACAACGAAGACGCAGATCGACATGACCCACTCTGCAAAATCAGAAAATTTGTTGATCGCGTGATCGCCAACTTCCGTCAGGCGTACACCTTTCTGCGTGAGGTGAGTATCGATGAACAGATGATCGCCTACGAAGGACGGCTCTCATTCAAGCAGTACATGCCGGCCAAGCCCATGAAGTGGGGAATGAAGGCGTTTGTCCTGGCCGAGTCGACGACCGGTTATGTCTGCGATTGGTTTATTTACACCGGGAAAGATCAAGCGGCCGACAATGACCCCAGAGGCAAGGGAGAGCAAGTCGTCTCCCAGCTAGTAGAGCATCTGCAGCCTGGACATATTGTCTACATGGACAATTACTATACGTCCCCATCGCTTTTCCTCGCGCTGAAGGAAAAGCGCATGGGGGCAGTCGGAACCGTTCGTGCCAACAGAAAGGGCTTACCTGAGGAGATCCGGACGAAGCATAAAAAAGGAACACCGACACGGCACTGGCGAAAAGGCAACATGTTGGCGCTGTCATGGTACGACAAGAAGCAGGTGAACGTTCTGTCAACAATCCACACTGCAACTTCCGTCGACGTTGCTGTCAGAGATCGGCGGAGCGACACTGGAAGCAGACGTGTACAGAAACCTTCCAGTGTCGCTTCGTACAATACCTACATGGGCGGTGTGGACAAAGCGGACCAACTAGTTAGCTACTATCGGTTTCCTCACCGTCACAGACGCTGGTACCTTGCAATATTCCACCAACTGACCGAACTTTGCACCACCAACGCCATGATTCTTTACGAGACTATCACCAAAAAATCTATCTCCTTGAAGCAGTTCAGGGCGCAGCTCATTGACGGTATTCTCGCCAGGACGGAATGGCCTCTTGGCGTTCCAAGAGCAACTCGCTCGGCGACGGTGGCAGCAGCTGTTCATGAGCACATTCGCTTGACAGAGCGCCACTTTTCTGAGTTGTTTTCCGAGCAAGGAAAACCTGACTGCGTCGCCTGCAGCGACAGAGGAGCAAAGCGACGCAAGCAAACTACCTGGCGCTGCAATGAGTGTGAGCTGCCGATGTGTCCCGGTCTGTGTTTTCGCCGGTATCACACTTTTGTGCACTACAAAATCAACTACACCAAAGACTGATGTTTTGCAGAACTGTCTAGCTAACTAATTCTTTCTGATCTCCTACTACTTGTAGTCCTAGTTCTTGATCTGCGCTTCTTATCTCGGTGAGTTTACTTCCGTTTTTCACACGATATTGACCCCCGCGCACTGCACGCGCGTGTATGCATGGTCACTGTACTGTACGCACTGCCTGTCGCGTGGAATGCATTCTCACATATATTCTGCAGCTATCTTCCATACTTCAAATTTCTGTAGAACGCATTTTGAGCGAAGAATATATCTCCTGAACTTCAACATTGTTTTATTGATATCTGCCTGAAAAACTGCTTGGCACTGGGGAGGAAGAACAGTTTCCAGGAGCTGGCACTCCAAAGGGAGTATGCATCAGCTGACTCTGGCACTGGAATGCTTGTCATGTCAAGTGCAGCTGGCAGTGAAAGGGTTAACGGTCTCCGTGTCTACGCGGTCAAAGCGCGCCATAAAACGTGCAAATACACATGATGGGGATGATGTGATTATGTTGTTGTGCCTGTGGTATTGCCAGACAATGCAGGGCATTGAGAGGATGTTGCGCAAGGGGCAGGTGGAGGACGCCTTCAACAGCCTTCTGGGATTGATCTCACGAGCGCATGGTCAGACGAAGATAGAGCTGTCGTTGAGGTTACGGTAAGGCATGATCGTATCGCACGCACGCTGCTCAACTGTTTTGCTATTTTTCACAAGATAGCCAGAAGCCACCAGGGTGCAAATGCCAGCAAAATATCGCAATGAGTCACACACAGCGATGTCAGCCATAGTGATATGTTGGCCCCGGAGCGCACTGCATGCTAGAGACCTTTCGCAGTCCGAATTTCGGTGAAATTTTCGAAGCCCGGGTCCGAGGACAGACAGTCTATCCGAAGATTCGTCCAGAACTTCGCGACACAGCCAGTCTGGCCGAACGTTGTTTTCGGTGTGCCCGCACGATCAAGTGCATGCAGGGAGTCGTTATTTGACTACTCCCTGACTGAAAGTTGTACTTTTTTCTGTCTCTTTGTCCCGGACGCGTATTTCTTGTTGTTTGTTGTAGTGTCAGCAATGGCAAACAGTTTTTTTCTCCATACTCATAGTCATTCGAAACCACAAGTTACTCCAAATCACAAAAGAAATGTCAAGAATAAACTAAGAGCATTCGCATTAAACTCATGTTATTCAGAAAGACAGGACAAGTGAATAGTTAGTCGATCCATTGTTCATGATGGTCTCCGACGGTTACGTCGGCAAGCAAGCCTCCACCACTGCTAAAGCAGCGTGGGCTCCGCAGGAGGGTTCAAATTTCAATCCAACATTGATACGCCTACAACCGCGAAGGCACATGATACATGATTTCAGAAGGCTGAAGGAAATCATCCTGCATCTAACAAAGGTCATAACATGGGAGTAGTGCTCGCCCCTCTTCTCAGTCAACAGATGAGCAATGCGTTTATACAGTGCTGTTGACGCCGGACCCATTCCGCCACTGGCTGACATGACCGCCGGAACACACGAGGCTTGCTCAACCTGCCTCACCCTCTCCTCATAGTGCCTTCGGTTTTCTCTTTCGTGTCGCTGATACACAATAGTATGCGGTACAGATCGATTTCAGTTTGAGAGAGGGTTAACAACCCGTATGTCAATAAGTGTACGCTCAAAACGACTGCCCCGCAAACCATTGTCAGCGACATCCAGCCGGGCATGGTCCTCCACACTCGCGGTCCGGTAGCGAAGACGCTCAGCCGTCAGCGATTGCAGTATGGACTCAATGGACACACTGGTAGACACTTGTTACGTCACGAATTCCATTGTGTCTTATGGAGGGAATCCTCCATAGGGGCACAACAAGGAATGCACAACAGTTGCCTCTTGGCCTCAAGAGTAGTGCGAAGGTGCCCTGGCCAGTATCCATCCGTAACGGAGGTAGAGTCCGTCCCAGAACTCTCTCTTCGATAAATTGAAACGGTACTTCTCAAGAGGACGGCACGTCAGCCAGCTCGACGACCTCTTCTCTTTCGCGACATCAATAACGTGTTGTAGCGACTCTGACGCACTGCGCGATATTGCGTCCGATTCCGTTATCTGATTACGTCGGGGAGACGCCGGGGTGTCTCTATTGGGCGACCTGATTAGGGCCACGGAATCACCAATGGAGCTGTCCCTGGACAAGATTCTCTGAGACAGACGATTCATATTGCTGGCATCGGGATACAAGATTAATCAAACCGAGCCCACCCAAACGACACGGCAAAGCCATAAGCCGCCGGATAGTGTCCCCTGGGGGTGCTCGGCAAGTCAAGGCGGGAATCAGTTCTGTCTTCACAATGTCCTCCAGCGGTTGGAACATGGGTTCGGGTACTTTCATGGCACAACAGAGGAACGCCCACCTACCCCTGAGGCCCATCACATACGCCGAATACGCAGCCTGTGGCTGGGTTTGCACAAATACTGCTAACTTCTTCAGTTCTCCCATCCATTCGTCCACCTTTGTTTTGATATAGCTTTGAAGAAAGTCGTCCCTTCCGATTGCTGCACCTAGATATCGTGATCCCTCATCCGTTATCATAACACCAGTGTCTCGAAACTATTCAGTCGCCTCCTGGTAACACCTTTCCTTTATGACAAGGACCGATTTCTTCGGGTTTACGTAATATCAAGAGTACATGAAAACCAGAGTGTGCAGCTTGGGGCCTTTTCTGCTATGGGTGTCTGTCACGGCGAAATTCCGTGATTACATCATATTTGGCCCAGATCTGAAGCGGGAAATGGCGTAGTGCGTACAACTGAGCTGCAGTTGTGCAGAAAGAGACCTGCTTGAATCCTGCTTGTACGCACTACATCACTAAAATGATGTAATCACGGAATTTCGCCGTGACAGCCACCCATCCGAGCTGCACACTCTGGTTTTCATGTACTCTTGGTAATATCCATATGCCGGTCCTCTCTTGTTCATTATGTCCCACCGTAGACGGAGCCTGGCAAACAATGCAGCTTCACGATCAAGTATTAGTTCTTCTTGTTTGTCTTCCTCTCCTGTGCATGGCTCATCATCCTCGAGCCTTGGCACGACCACAATACCTACTGCGTCTTCGTTGGGGGCAGCATATGTTTTCAACTTGCCAAGCTCAGGTCCAAAAAAGTAAAGCCGAGGATAAATTTCGATTTGGCCATGGGCCTTATCCTTCTCCGCCTATGGCGGTCTGGGGAGAACCCATTTGTACGTGGTTCTCCTGGCTATGAGGATACTGCAGTAAGAGATAGAAGTGCGTTCTTTTCCCCTGGCTCCATCGTCAACACCATGAGGATTGCGTGAAAGAGATTTTTGAATTTCTGTCTGCCGGCGCTAGTGAGCAAACACCATGAAACAGAGTTTTCGATCTGCAAAAGAAAGTTGGCACCGAATTTCTGTCATGCCACTTTCAAAACTCGGCCGAACGAAACATTGAACGAAATTCGGACTGCAAAAGGTCTCTAATGCAGTGCTCCCGGAGCAGAAATTTCATTAGCCTACTCAAGCTCAACTGGTGAGGGGTGATTTCCCCGAAACAATTTGTTTTGAGCAGGGAGTGGCACTTTCTTGCAGGTTTGTTGAGCGGAAGATTCGCCGGGCTTCTCGTATACTCCGGACACAGTCGTGAGTCAGTCAAGTGTCCAGTCAGTCGGCAGGAAGGGCGTGCTCCGAAGTTTGGAGCAGACGCTTTCTTTCTCAATAGCAATATCAAATTATCAACACTTCACCAGCACTTCTTCACTACTCTGTGAAATTGTATAAGTTTAATAATGCCCGAAGCTATGCAAAGCACATTGCCTTAGTAGCGCCTCTCGCTGGCCAGAGTCCACAGCACTGTAATTCGGTATGTTGTTTACAGCATGGTGCAGTGTGTATGTGTACTTTGAGTCAACCAAATTATCGCCGCATATCTATTTTCGGGCGAAAATTTGCTTTTCAAGGTTCAGTGTGACAGTGTATAAAGTTGGCAGCAGTACAGGCCGAAAATTTGATGCCGCCAAAATGGGTTCAGCCCCGGGAGGCCGAAATTTGAATCGGCCGAAAATTTGTAGACATTCTTCCACAAAGGACGAAACAGCTCTGTCCGCAGGTTGAGTAGACTTACGGTATACGTTCGTTGTTGTGTACAGCATGGTACAGGCATACTGGAACAGCATGCTGGATGTACTGGCCAGGATTATCAATGACACTGAGGTATGTATTAGTACTTGTATGCTCGTATTGTGTATTGATACTTTTCTCCATCCCAATCCGTCCAGCCATTGCTGTGTAGATGTGTCGTCGCGTGTCTTTAACTGAATTGTTTCTTTTCGCTGTGTGTATGGGTGTGTGTGTGGGGGGGGGGGGGAGGGGGCAGGACAGGTGTGTGTGGGGAGGGGGGCAGGACAGGTGTGTGTGTGTGTGTGGGGGGGGGGGGGGTGCGTGCGTGTATGTGTGTGTGTTGTGTGTGTTGTGTGTGTGTGTGTGTGTGTGTGTGGGTGGGTGGGTGTGTTAATGTGTACTCACGTGTGCGTACGTGCATGCGTGGGTGCGTGCATGAGGGTGTGTGTGGGTGCGTGCGTGTGTGCGTGCGTGCGTGCGTGCGTGCGTGTGTGTGTGTGTGTGTGTGTGTGTGTGTGTGTGTGTGTGTGTGTGTGTGTGTGTGTGTGTGTGTGTGTGTGTGTGTGTGTGTGTGTGTGTGAACATGCACATGTGTTTTTATATGCATAATGTGTGCTTTTGCGTGTGACAGTGGGTACTGCTACTACTGCATCGTCATGTGTTGGTGTGATATCACTTTATGTAATCAACTAGATCATGCGGCCTTCTCTGACATGCATATGTGGGTGTTTGAAGTTATCGTTTACGTTGCAAACCAAACGGGCATTGATTCCCAATATTGTGATGGCAATAGAATATGGGATGAACTGTGGGGATGGTTTCTACGTTCTTTGCCTCGTAACCAAGCGTGTGTTTCCTGTCGTTGCCATGGTAACTGTTGTTCTGTGCAGAAACACGAAGAGTTCTATACGCAGTGCTCCGTGCAACTCAATGTGAGTCCTGTTGTACAGCTGCCCATTGTTGTTCAGTGTGATGACATTCCCCGAACTGTCTATGCCTAGTTGTATGATTATTCAAGTACATGTATGTTTATGAGCATGCGAGATGTTATAGTCGAGAGTCCTTTTGTTGGTCTTTCCGCTGATCACTTTCTAATGAGTTTAGTTTCCCCTCTTGTGTTGAAAAGATACCCAGGGGCAATGAATGAATAATTTGCATCCCATACGAAGAGAGAAGTATGTTACAGCGAGGGTACTTTATTTTACTGGACAGCAGGAAATTTTCGGACGGAAATATTTTCGGACAAAGTCAAATTTCGACCTTTCGTACGGATTTTATTTTCGCACAGTGCTGCATGCTAAATACACGTGTTCGCAAGCAGTACGCATGTATAGTGTACATAATTTCACATGAACACATTTTTGTACGGAATTAATTTTAGGACAAAAGAGGCGTGTACGGAATCGTACGAAAATATATTCCGTCCGAAAATTTCCTTTTATACAGTATACTGAGTTCTCACTACAGAATGGAATAGTAATGGCAATAGTATGGAACACTGGACCTCTCAAGATGTGTTTCCGTATTTCCGGAATAAACGCCGCACTGGAGTCTAAGCTGCTCCCAAATTCTGTGTCACGCAATACGGCCATCTACCCTGCACTTCACTATTCATTTGACCATCGTAGTATGAGCTGCACACGCCTTTTTGCTGCACACGCTTTTTTGCTGCACACGCGTTTTTGCGATGAATTGCGATTGTGTAAAGAGTGCGGTTGTAACTCCGGCAAAAATACCATACTGTTTGTCACTGGCTGGTGCATGGCACACCCGGCGTAGCCAGTCCGGTCGGTCGGGCCTTGGCCGGACCCACCTTTTGGCCAGCAACGTGTGTTTACAGCGGAGGAGGTCATATGCATACCCCCCATATCCTACACAAATTGTATGAAACACCTCTAGGGTACTGTAATTTTCCCAAATTTTCGTTATACTTTTATTTTGCGGTACTTTTGGTGCATCAGTTTCATACCTAAAATTTCAATGCACCGAACAAACACTAACACACGTGACTCAATATTGAACTGCTTCTCCGCGCCTAAAATTTCTGTTCACCTAACCTGGCCTTTTGCCCTCTTGCCAAACATATTGAGCACCGAAAATGTCTGAGATTAGAGAATGGCCGGACCAATGAAAAAGAAAGCTTCTGCCAGTCCTGTATGTCCTGTATGTCGTCATGCAGAATACCCGTGTGTGATGCCGTATGTGCAGCCTGTCTTACTCTCCTGTCTTTCTGTTTCCTTTGCCTTGTGTTGCAGGGCAGCTTTACTGCCCTGAGCGAACTAGCTCCAGATTCTGCCACGGCCAATTTTGCCACAGACCAATTCAAGGTAGTTAAAAAGCAGATATCCACCACCCCCCCCCCTCCACAAACACAACTAAACAACCAACCCACTACCACCCAAACCTACTACCCTCTTCCGTCCCCGATCTCTCTCATCCTCTCTATCTACTAGGGAGTATCTATCACCCTTTTCTTCTCTCTCTCTCTCTCTCTCTCTCTCTCTCTCTCTCTCTCTCTCTCTCTCTCTCTCTCTCTCTCTCTCTCTCTCTCTCTCTCTCTCTCTCTCCCTCCCTCTCCTTATGGAAAAGTCTGCCTCTCTCTTTCCCTCTACCCCCCCCCCCTCTCTCTCTCATGCTATTGGTTCATGTTTCTGCATTATAATTATTATTATGGATATGTTCATGCAATGTTTGGCTCTTGAGTATTCACTAGGATCAGAGAGTCATGGAGTAGTTCTTGGGCATGAAGCTGGCTCAGTTGTATCTGACGTCATCAATTTTCACTATAAGGACTGTCCGTAAATACATGTATTTACTTAGAAACGTCTGTTGGGCGTTTATGGGTGGGTGAGTTCGCCTGCAATGCGTCTAAAAAAATGCATTTCTGAGTGCATACATACCACACAGCACGTGTACATGTACATGATGCAGCACTGCTACAGCTAGTACAGGTGGGCCATGAGACGCACTACGATGCACTCAGTGTCATTATCTGCATGTGGGGGGGGGGGGGGTGAAGAGAGGAACATCCGTTAGACGTCTCTAAGTAAATACATGTATTTACGGACGGCCCCATAGATAAATCTGATTATCATGGTGTTGTTCGTTCATAAGATGATGTACTTGGTGGTGTTTCTATAATGCTCTTTTCCCTCACTTTTCCGTGCTATCACATTTGCTTATCCATGCTATCACGCTACACAGAGTCTACACACAGCCCTGAAGATGTACAGTGAAGGTCCAGAGCAGCTACAGTATCAGTTCTTCATGATGCTCAGAGATGTAAGGCTCATCCTGGGTAGTGTTTGCATGCGTGTGTGTGTGTGTGTGTGTGTGTGTATGTGTGTCGGTTGCAAACCTTGCAGGTGACTTTGTTGTTGTTACACTCCACGAGATCATCCGGAGTCTTTGCAATTGCCTCGCGCCATGCTGGGCGATCCTGAGCCAAAGTGAGCCAATTCACTATGCCACCGAAACGAAGATCACGTGCGACGAGGTCTTTCCATCATTCACTGCTCGTGGGATTCACCGTCACAAGTGCTCAGCTGTACGGTCCTTACCTGTTGCCCAGCAGCCTGGGGCCCGTCACTGTGGAGTTTGTGACCGCTGGTTTCAAAGCGCTGGCGGTTTTGCAGTTCATCGTTGTGTGGAGCGTCAGACATCGGACGAAATACCAGCTGTTTCAACGAGATGCAGCCTGAATTTGGACTGCTGCCAGCACCATTGCTCGATCTGTGATCGCTGCATGAAGAGTCAGGCTGGTTTTAACCGCCATAATTGTACTCGAGGCAAACGACTGCGAAAGGACCAGAGGACTAATCTGCCCATTCAATGCAGCCTATGTAACGAACGATTCTCCCGCCCGCAGGACCTCACCCGCCACCGAAGACAGAAACACTAGCTATGTGTAGAACGGTCCCCTTTCACCTCAATTATTCTCCTTGTTTCTTTTTTCTCGCTGTTGTCTCCCGCTTCTGGGAGCGACGTGGCCATTTTGTGGCAGTTGTACATAGTAGTAGACATAGTCGTGTATGTGTGTGTGTGTGTGTGTGTGTGTGTGTGTGTGTGTGTGTGTATGTTTGCACTTGTGGAAAGCGAAATTGCCGTCGCCAGGACTTGGCTCGCCACGCTCGATTCTGATCAAAACTTGAACACTGTTGGTCCCTTCGGGACCTGCTATCATAATTTTCATGTGATGTATCATTTTGGTCAGTGTATCACACTGCATACACCCATGCTACTCTAGCACGACTCATGTGCCTGGGGACCTCGCTCATTCCTCATACCTGTCAAGTGTCGTGCATGCGCCATGTGCATCTACACTTCTTGCGCTGATGTGTAGATCTACCATGCATGGTGCACCATGCAATGTGTAGATCTACCATGCATGGTGCACCATGCAATGTGTAGATCTACCATGCATAGTGCACCATGCAATGTGTACATTTACATGTACTAGCAGGGTGCAACGCGGTCGCGGGTGGGTGGTCGTCAGTCGCGTTGAGCGAGTGGTCGCCTTATCCGAGCTGTTTTGCATGTGAATGCGTCCGTGACAAGGAAAATTGGTCGCCGTGGTCACCTTATCCGAGTGGTCGCCATTACAGGTTTTCCTGTATTGTATTGTATTGTACTGTGTGTGGGTGTATGTGTGTTTGTGTGTGTGTGTGTGTGTGTATGTGTGTGTGTGTGTGTGCGTGCGTGCGTGCGTGCGTGCGTGCGTGCGTGCGTGCGTGTGAAGAGAGCTCCGGCAAAGTTCGAGACCACCACGGCTTCAGTAACAAGTAGACATTGCGCAGGAAGGGTCGCACCAATGTTCCAACACAGAAAACAGCGATTCCGACAGTCTGACTAAGACGAGCAAGTCACAAACATTGCTATCTGCGAAGCGAAAATTTTAATGACGCGGGAGGAAGTACCTATGCTTGCTGAAGGAAACTTCCTCCTTGTATGTATGTGTGTGTGTGCCTGTGTACAGTCAACTTCGCTTATAACGACACTCAGCGGGGCATCAGAAAAGTGTCCTTCTTCGCGAAGTGTCGTTATACCCGAAGTCTCATTATATGTATTACAGTTGGATGGGACTTTGCTCTGGGCATGGGAATTCTGTCGTTATTCGCGAATTGTCGTTATATCCGCAGTCGTTATTAGCGAAATTGACTGTATGTACATATGCCTGTGTATGTACGTTTGTGTGTGTGTACATGTGCGTGTGCATGCGTACGTGTGTGTCCACGCACCCAGGCACCACCAGATGACAAGTGGGGCAGCGTCACCATCCAGATTGGTCACGTTCCAAACCAGGTCAACTTTGCCATGACCAACCTGCGCATCAACCGTAAGGTTGTTTTTGATGCATTTCAAGTGCTCTTGAATGAAATCTTTATTATCGTCCGTTATCGGGGTTGAGGAGTGAAGTTTAATACTTGGTCCGACTTATTAAAATGTGCGTTTCACTTCGAACGTCAACCAAACAAATTCAAATAATCTCAGGACGGAATAAACTTTCCAGCTACCTAACACTATCCTCCAGTTGTCAATTTGTGATGTTGAAGAAGAAATGGCTCCAACTCCAACGGAGGCAGCGGCTCAGGATCCTAGTCGACTCGAGAATTTTGCGACCAAATTTTGTCGTCAGAGGACTCCTGTTGCTTCTCGCGCAACACAGAGCAGGCCTGGTGCTGAAATCAACACCCCGCTGCGATGGGGGATTGTCACGGAGTACCAAAACCTCCTGGGCGATCGTTCTCGAGTGCCTCCTGGCGGATGGAAATCGCTGCAATCGCTGTTTCCTTGGCAGAATTTCAGCAAATGCGTCATCCAGAAACTCGTGCAGAAAGCACCAGCATCGCTCCGTCCAGTTTGCTGATCTCTCTCGCAGTTGTTCACGATGTGGCGGCCGACGAATCAAGATCACAGAAGAGATCATCGAGAAGTTGATCGAAATATATAACCGGCCTTGAGGTCGACTTTCAGGTGACTACCTGCCTGGAAAACTGAAGCGCAGAAAGGGAGAATTATCCGGCGGACACGGTGCGGAGTCCTCGGACCCGCGCGCGGAGCCGCGATCGCGATGCGTCACAAGATCGCCAGTCTCCGGGGCCAGTGCAGTGGATTCGTGAAACAGGCAGGGAAGAGCACGCATGGTCTGACTGCATGACATGTCGACACAGCTCAGACTCAGTACGCGCGCGGTACACGGTGGTCAGAAGTGATTTTTTATGCGTGGTGGTTTACGGTTCACCTCATTTGAAGGTGTCGTGCGAGCTTCAGGCGAAAACACCTACAGCCACCGTTTTGGTAGTCGTACTGCACGAGGAGGAGGTGAAGTCGATCATGTAAATCGTGCCTGTGGAGTGAAAAAATCAAAGAAGCGCAGTGTAGCATGGACTAGATGAAAAAAATGGCGACATTTTGCCGGTTGACGCACTTGGAGATGCGCCCTGAGACACCAGCAGCGATGAAAACTAGAAGGTCAGGCCAAGAAACGACACAGTAGTTATCTATCTACCGTCTCTTGGTTGATTTTTTAGTACAGGTGCTCGTTTGTACATATGCTTGAGTTTTGAAGTGAAGCGCACATTTTAATAAGTCGGACCAAGTACGTTCTGTTGATACCTTGGCATGAGGGCCGTGAAAATGAAGATGCGTTCTGTTCTGTCTGCAGCCACAGTTGGTGACAACTGATGCTAAATCATGTATGGGCCAGTGACCATTAGAGCAGATGTGTATGACAATGACCCACACTTCTACCCGACAGTCCTGTGCAGAGGGGGGGGGGGGGGGGTGTTAGCCACAGTGTTCACCATTGCACTACAGACACACATTCTTGTATTTTGATAATCATAAGCGCACTCTCACTTATAAGCGCATGCCCTTATAGTCAAAGCACAACCAAAACCCTCACTCGGACGCAATCGCAAACAAAGTCTGCAAACAGCATCAAGGAGCCATTAAACCGACATCTACAAGACGCACGTAACGACTCTGGCAAACGAGCTCTGGTCATGTATGAGCGTTAAGGTGAAAAGCATTTCATTTTGAAAATTGGGTTTCAAGCAAAACGTTACTAATAAGCGCATGTCCTCGTATGTGCCTTATTCCGGTAAATTCTGTATGGAGCTGTAGCACATCTATCGTATGACCACGCGGGACAGCCATGTTTGTTCCAACAACAGCATATTCTTGCATCCCTGCATCTATTGGTCACATGATGGTGGCCATGCTGGGTCCACTGTCCGGTGTTTTATGTACACTTTTAACACAACTACACTGCATGGCGAGACATATCTAAGGAAGACATTTGTTTGACATGCGCATGCGCGTCTCTTTCTGTTCCCTTCTCGCTTTACAGTAATGCACTATCAGGGCCTGTATGCAACGGAGGAAGACATTGGTGAGTTTGTCTTGTCTTGACACACAGAGAAAAACGGTGGGATATTCGGCAATGTACCACTCTTTCTCGGTGTGGACAAACATTTTGTTTTTCCACAGACGGCTGAGCGCTGTGAAAGAGTGCGAAAAACGTATTTTTCGCTCACAAATGTTTTCGAGCAGTTGCTCTGGTTCGGTGTAGCTTCATATAGTCTTCCATCGTGGTCTTTGTTTTCCTCGTGGTCTTTGTTTTCCTCGTGGTCTTTGTTTTCCTCGTGGTCTTTGTTTTCCTCGTGGTCTTTGTTTTCCATCGTGGTCTTTGTTTTCCTCGTGGTCTTTGTTTTCCTCGTGGTCTTTGTTTTCCTCGTGGTCGTTGACGTTGCCCACCTACGCACCCAGGTTAAATGTTTGTCGTCCACTGCTGTTACTGATAATTGTTCTTTTGCCGATGTGTCTGGCTTACGACATACAATGTGTGTTAAATTCTCTCAAACTATTAAATGAACAGGCGGTGAGGTGACAACAGTTTTAGTATGGCAATAAACAGAACCAACGGAAGCGTCATGTCACGAAGGTATATTATTGAGATTTCACGAAAAAGTTCTAGAGAAAGTGGTGATGAACAAAGAAAGAACTATGATGAGAATGTAGAGTTTATAGAAAAGCTATTTAGCCATTGTGTGGCTGCGATCACCTTTCTCTTCTACTCGTTTCTGGAGAGCCACTATCATAGTGGTAGGTATGGATGTTCGGGTAGACCATTGAGCCGTGGCCGTCCTGTTCCATGGTCCTTCGTCTATTGTGACCATCTGGGGGGATATATCACGGGGGGATATGTCACAGGGGGGATATGTTAGGGGGGGGGGGGGGGAGGGGTGGAAGATATGTCAAGTACTCCAGTAAGAATGTTCAGCATTGTTGCATAACTTGTTCACATATCCATCGCACATCTTGCTTGTTTTATTTTCTTTGTCCAGATACGTACGCCGTATACTTCCAGTGTCATGTCTTGCCATCTGAACCTCGTTCGGAATTCTGTGTCAGGTCCAAGACGAACAATGGCACAACAGATCTTCTCGAGGCTGTTGTGAATCTGTAAGAGTCGTCTGTCTTTCTATGTAATCTACTGGAAGCAATTGTGTGTCCTTCCATTCTGATGTACTATCCTGCACAAGACACAGACAACACTCCACAGGATAAGCTATCACAACTATATGTACGACAAGGTGTCGTGCTGAACATGTGTAGTTGTGTGTTTGTGTGCATGTGAACATACCTGCGTTCATGCATGCATCATGCACATGTGTGTCTGTTTTTTTTGGGGGGGGGGGAATTGTCTTGCTTTTTTTACACCCATAACTGTGATTTTCTTATGCAAATCCGTCCTATGTTCTTGACTGTATGTGCCTGACTGCATGTGTGCACATGATCACACGTGCATGTATGTGCAGATCTATTCCTCAGCGATGGGTGACAAGTGAAAGTCACGTGGTGCGACTCAGCGCTTTTCACAAGAAAATGGTCAAGGACGAGCTGCTAGGCGAGGTGATTATACCGCTGAACGAGGTGCCAGAGCTCGCAATATCCCTATATCGCAGTCTACCACTGAAGACCTACAACTTACAGTTGTTCAAAATCGAGGACAAGCACTCTATCGTACGCTGTCTGGAACGTCGTAGTCGCCAAGACACTGGTTTGAAGAAGTTCTTGCTTTACGAGCGGACATGGCTGAAGGCGGCCGACTCCACCAAGCATCATCGCAACCAGTCACTACCCCTGGCAGCCCGTCATCGGTAACCCCAGGTGTGTATGTGTGTGTGTGTGTGTGTGTGTGTGTGTGTGTGTGTGTGTCTGTATGTGTGTGCCAGTCTGTGCGTGAGTGTGGGTGTGTATGTATGTGTGTGTGTGTGTGTGTGTGTGTGTATGTGTGTGTGTGTGTGTGTGTATGTGTTTGTGTGTTTGTATGTGTGTGTGTGTGTGTTTGTGTGTTTGTATGTATATGTGTGTGTGTGTATGTGTGTGTGTGTGTGTGTGTGTGTGTTTGTGTGTTTGTATGTGTGTGTGTGTGTGTGTGTGTGTGTGTATGTGTATGTGTGTGTGTGTGTATGTGTATGTGTATGTGTGTGTGTGTGTGTGTGTGTGTGTGTGTGTGTGTGTGTGTGTTTACTGATGTTACAATAGGCTTTATCTGCATTTCTTGACATTCGCTGTGTGAGCTCAAAGCTGTACAGATATTATGCAAACCTTGTTAAATCGGAGGCAAGAAGACATCTGATTCTACTTTGATAATTGTATACATTTCAATGCCTACGCAACATAACTAGGGTGAATGAGCTATCAGATCTTCTCATCTGCTTGAGTTTGATGGTCTGGGCAGGGCTGATATGTTTTATAGATATGTTCCATTGGTGCCGTTCTTGTTAAGCTTGCTGGTAATAGGGATTCACTTCCACTGCTTTTACTGTTCAATGCGTTGTATTGCTGTCTTTCAATACCCTGTGCGCTCTCATAGTCACTAGCATATTGACACACACACATGAGTCATGCTGAATTCCTGCACTTCCTTTGGAAATTGGTGGAAGCATGCTTTTTAACCACTGCATCTACACTGAATTTGGCAAGTGAGTTACGCAGCATCCAAACTCATCGCTGCTCTTCATGAATCCCTTCTTCCAACCAGGCAAATTCTTTGATGTCGATAAAACGATTGTTAACTTAAAAGGCCTCTATTTTTTGCTGTTGTTCAAAACGGATGCGGATGCGGGTAGTGCAATCCTTTCTGTACTGGTGCTGGTGGTTTCCTCGCAATACTATACATCACAACTCACTCCCGACTACAGGGCTGCCAAAATTGAAAACGTTCTATCAAACTTCTCGTGCCAGGTCTGTCTTACGAGACGGTTTTGTTAATTGATGCATAATCGTGTGAGGTACTCTCACGGAATCATGTCATAGTCACACCAATAAGATATGAAGTGTTTGAGTAGTGCACTAACATGGCCGAATCTACCCACCCTGCAAGCCGGAGGAATGAGCTAGTGGTTGGGAGATTTATAAGGCCTCATCCCCACCGTGAGGTACTGCAGAATGCCGCCTGATTCGATTCACTGCTCCGTTCATTGGTAGTGTGCACTGGAACTGTCTGCAGCCTGATGTACACTGCATCACAATTCCTTCTGCAGTAAAGAAAGCAATTGCCCAAAATGATATTAGACTCATTTACCCCCTACTAAGATCTCAGCCTCACAGTCCGTCGCATCATTTTCAGGAAATACCTTTAGTTTTATACATGAATTATAGGAAACTTCACTTCTCAACTCCAAAACCTGTCTCTTCACAGCGATTCAAATTGAAATTTTCATAACACCAACATTTCGAGCCTGGCCTATCATCAGGATTATGAACGACAAAATATCCACTGCATACCGGTATTTATTTTATTGAAGCGTTAGCATCACTTGAATGTTCAGAAACACACAAGGTATAGCCTTCGCTCCCGCAGGCCACCACTATGCCTTTTCACCTTGACAGTTTTAAAAGGGGAAGTTAAGGCAAAAATTAAAATTTCACCGGTTGTAGTCTTCGGGATGCTGAGTCGAATGGTTTTGGTCCGAGAAAGCTGAGACGCTCCCTTCCTACTTGAAGCCCAATCGAACTCGCACACTTCTACCGAAGATGGGAGACTGCGCCCTACTAGATGGGGATTTGTATGCAAAATGTCACTAAAAGCGCCATTTCGTTCTTATAAAAGCACGGATGACCGCGATTGGCCCATATGTTGTAGTCTTTTGGACGCTGAGTCGATTGGTTGTGGTCCGAAAAGGCTGCGATGCAGCGTTCCTCCTTGATTCCCAATCGAACATGGTTGAACAAGCGGTCACGTGCTCCTGCGTACACCAGTCACCTGGTCACCGTGCCTGCAGGGTACAACTAACTTACTACCCTGTTTGACATTTTTTGGGTGCAGTCCTGTCACTGGAGTTGAACTCGAGTTGAACCTTGGTGCGAAAGTTGTCGCCTGCTGGCGTGGTGACCAGGTGATTTTGGCACCCAGGAGCACGTGACTGCTTGTTCAACCATGTTCGATTGGGAATAAAGGAGGAACGCTGCATCGCAGCCTTTTCGGACCAAAACCAATCGACTCAGCGTCCAAAAGACGACAACATATGGGCCAATCGCGTTCATCCGTGCTTTTTAAAATTATAAGAACGAAATGGCGCTTTTAGTGACATTTTGCATACAAATCCCCATCTAGTAGGGCGCTGTCACCCAGTTTCGGTGGAAGTGCGCGAGTTCGATTGGGATTCAAGTAGAAAGGGAGCGTCTCAGCTTTCTCGGACCAAGACCATTCGACTCAGCACCCCGAAGACTACAACTGGTGAAATTTTTATTTTTGCCTTAACTTCCCCTTTAAACATGACACATTGCCGTACATTCAGTTGTTATAACTTATTTTGTCGAGTGTTAGTTCTTGTGCAGAAAGGTGTACTAGAATTGTATGGCACACGAGTGGTTCCAGCAAAATACATGTTCGTCTCGCACTTGGCAGAGAATTCCGAACGAGGTTCAGCTGACAAGACATGACACAGGAAGTATACGGCGAACGTATCTAGACAAGAAAAGAAAATACTAGTAATCAAGATGTGCGATGGATACAGTATGTGAACAAGCTATGCAACATTGCTTGAAATTCATACATGAGTACACCGTAGTATTCTATGTCACGTCACTGACCATCATCCAGCGATGGTTGGTGGACAGGGACATGTACAATGTCATGCTTGAAAATTGGTATCTAAGCATTGCCGTCTTTTCTGTGTCCAGCATTTCCGCGTCCTTCACTTTGGTGTACGGCCTCTCAGTCCCGCTCCCGCTGTTGGCCATCAGAATCAGAATCAGTATCCCAGAATGGCTGTGCTTGTGGCAGTCTCACTGCGCCCGCTACTTCCTAATCTCCTTTTGGGACGTCCATTTGTCGGACCTTCCGCTCCATTTTTGGAACTCCGGTTTTTGGACGTCCGACTAACGCTGCTTATGGCTGCTGAACTCACGCTGCTGAACCGCCCGCTCACGCTGGTGAACCGCCTGCTCCCGCTGTACGACCTTCAGCTCCCAATCCCGCTGTTGGGCCTTCATCTGCGTCTCCAGCTGTTGGACTTTCAGCTCCCATTCCCGACGTTGGACGTGCAGTTCCCGCTTTTGGACACGGAGATCCCGATCCCGCTGTTGGACCTCCAGCTCCCACTCCCGCTTTTGGACCTGCACCTCCCACTCCCGCTTTTGGATCTGCAGCTCCCACTCCCGCTGTTGGGCCTGGAGCTCCCGCTCCCGCAGTTGGACATCCCTCTCCAACTGTGGGTCACAATCCCGCTTCCGCGGTTGAGCGTCCCGCTCACATTTTTGGGCCGCCCGCTTCCACTTCGATATGTTCGCCTCTTGCTGTTGGAAACGTAGCTTCCCCTGTTCCACCTGTTGGACCTCCCGCTCGCATTGGTTTTTCAATCTCTCCCACCTTTCTTTCAATTTCTCCCACTCTTGAACGTCTCCCTGTTGGTAATCCCGCTTTTCCGGTTCGTCATGCTGGTTCATCTGTTGGAACAGCTCATACTGTTGGACAAATCCCAGGACTTGGGCAAGATGCTCCCGGTCATCACTCTCTGGGGCGTCACTCTCTTCCATGTCACTCTCTTGGACGTCACTCTTTTGAGCGTCACTCTTTTGCGCGTCACTCTTTTGCGCGTCACTTACTTCGACATCACTCTCTTCGGTGTCATTCTCTTCGACGTCACTCTCTTCGGCGTCACTCCCTGGTGCGTCACTCTCTTGGGCATCCCTCTCTGGGACGTCACTCTTTTGGACGTCACTCTTTCGCGCGTCACTCTCTTGTTCCTGCTCATCATGCTGCTTCATCTGTTGGAACAGCTCATACGATTTGACAAATCGCAGGACTTGGGGAAGATGCTCCCCGTCATCACTCTCTGGGGCATCACTCTTTTGGACGTCACTCATCTGCGCGTCACTCCCTTTGGCCTCACTTTCTTCGGCCTCAATTTCTTCGGCCTCAATCTCTTCGGCCTCACTCCTTCGGTCTCTAGGATCCAAGCATGGCCGCTTTTGGGTTTGGTCGTGTTGAGTACTCCGCTCTTGGGCGTCCATTTCTTGTGTATCCCGCTCTTGGGCGTCCAGCTCTTCAGTATCCCGATCTTGGGCGTCGGGCTCTTTGATGTGATGAACTTTAGCATGATGGGAATCGCAGCATGGCAGGTTTTCAGCTTTTGACACTAGCTCTTGGTCGTCGTGCTTTTGCCAGTTCGGCTCTTGGTCGTTCTGCTCTTTGGCATCCAGCTCTTTGGCATCCAGCTCATTGGCATCCCGCTCCCCAATGCACGACATCTCTGTACAATGACTTTTGACGATGACTTTTGACGATGAGTCTCCAAACAGGCCTTGTGAATACAGCAAGCATCAATAGACAATGTTCTTACAATGTGACCCGTTCAACTAATAATGGGCCTAGATTCATGGTGGTGTGATATTGATAGCACAAAGAAAAGTGCAGGTGATAGTGTCATCGCGGAGCAAACATACATTTGTCAGGTTTGGATTTGCACCAGGGGTAGAGGGGCGAGGGGGGGGGGGGGGGAGGGGTATGGCCATCATTGGGATGCGTGTAGCTTGAGGTGTAGGCCGCAGTGTCTATTCTCTGCTGATGATGTTTGTTTTGGCGCGCCGTGATGATGGATAACATGTTAGCATTGTGGTGTAACTGCTAGTTGGTTTTGACATTTTTGACGTCTCTAAACAAGAGGTCGCACCTGGTGTCAAAACGTCACCATGAAACCAAGTGTTACTTTTCAATAACCTAGAAACTCCATCACTAGACTTAGGACCATACTACTCCCAACGTACAACTTCCTATCCCACAATCGTCTGTTTGCTCGGCGATAGCATGATCACTTGCACTTTTCTTGGAACTATACAATGTACATCTCACACTACCATGAATCCTTACTACAGTCAAACCTGACAATAACGGACACTCATGAGACTGAGCGCAAATGTCCTTGATTAACAGGTGTCCTCCATTCTCAGATGCACCACCACTATACAAAATGTACATGCATGTCCGTTTGTCTCTTTCCCTCAAACCAGTTAATATTTTATGACTTGGGGCTCCCCGCGTGCTAGTTTGTACATGAAGTGTGTGGGTTACAATGAGGGCTGCGTCCCACCCGCCTGTGTGGGTTCACAGGAAGTGTGAGTTACGAAGTCTGAAGAAAATGTTGAACGGGCTCTGCTGGGATGACGACTACACCATAGCTCAGTGGTTAGAGCATCGCTGGCTACAAGCGAGGGTCCCTGGTTCGAGTCCTGGTGGTGGCAGTGAATTTTTTCTTCAGACTTTTCCCGTTTGTCTCTTTCCCTCAAACCAGTTAGCATGTCAGTCTCTTAGTTGAAATGAATGCTACATTTATACACCTACCCTTCTCCAATGTATATTCACGTTGCCACATGGAGTACATGTGTACAAGTACGTGGACAATGTACCATGTATCATTATTACATAATACATTGCGCAGAGTGCAGGTACCCCGGTACCCCAGTCAGCGTGTCCGCCTTAGTGAGACTGAGATCAGTGCAACACAATACAATGGACGTTTTACTATGTTCACATAACCAGCTCGAAAAGAATGAGGAAAGACAATGGTACAGAGACTAGGACAAACGTGACAACTAATGAGCAGGCGCTGCACCGAGACGCAGCAGTGATGGTGGGGCATTGATGACTCTGCCGACCTGAGGTCTCGGCGTCACGGATGTGCGGTAGTGTACATTGTATGAAAATAATCTACTGACCAATGCTATGCATGTGCATATACATGTACTCGGTACGAACCTGGAGCCGAGAGTTAACGTTACAATTCA